TTCGCAAGAACAGTTCTGGAGGGTTTGCAGCAAATTTGCAAGAACTTCTAGTGAATTTGCAGAAAATTCGCAAGAACAGTTCTGGAGAGTTTGCAGCAAATTCGCAAGAACTGTAGTGGAGAGTTTGCAGCAAATTCGCATGAATGGTTCTTGAGAGTTTGCAGCAAATTTGCAAGAAACCTGTGACAGATTCCCTTTTGTCATGCTGATTAAGTTTGTGGGGAGTTTGCAGCAAATTTGCAAGAGACTTAATTTACATGGTAAATTTCCTCTTGCAAATTTGTTGCAAATTTGCAGCAACTGTTTGCAAGAAGCCTTAAATTTTGCTAAGGGCAGGTGGCTTCATGTTCAGTTCGTCGTATTCCTTGTCCGTAAGTTTGCATACAAACTTTTGTCTCTCTCTGTGGAAGAAGGGCGAATTAAAACACCGCCACATCAGCTTAAGCTCTTTATCCCGGTGACTAGAAATTACTTGGAACCAATCTTTGTTACGTGTGTGTTTTTTGGTCGTGATGATATCTTCCGTAGTTCTGTCCGTGGTCAAATCGTCAATGAAGTTCGGTAGTTTTTCATAAAAGTCCATCTTGTTCCTGTAAAATGAAAATTAAAAGCAATTTGCGTCAATTCACACACGGAATCACGGCACATATACCTGCAAACAGTATAGTTCTTAATATTCCGGTACAATGTATATTCTGGTACATGTACACTTCAATTTACCAAAATGTCCACATACTTCGATTGAATTTCCTCGCACCATGGAACATATTGTACATTACTGATATTAAAGTGCCGAATAACACTCTTTATCGCACTGCATTTCTAAATGAACACATTCAGGAGAGGACAGCCAACTACGGCGGCATCGGTACGCACATAAACTGGTGGATCTGGAATTTTGTTTAAAGGGGTGGGGGTCCGAATAAAATATTTGACATCCCTGGGCTTATATATGAAAGCATGGCACACGAATGGATTTTTTTTTTCTCTCGTTTAGGTCTTTATATCATTTTTGGTCGAAAGAAGAAGAGCGTTCCACAGCAGAACAGAGCTGACCTCTGGCTCTACAATAGGATTCCATGCGTTCTGTTGCCACCAATCACGTACTCGTAACTTATCTTACTTTCCAATCACGTGGTCCACAATGCCCAACTCTTGCGCATGCTCAGCAAGGATAGGCTCTGGGTTAGAATACATTATTTCATCTGCCTTTTCTTTACCAACTCTCTTCGGGAAGAAGTATGTCCAGTATTCCGAGCCATACAAGTTCATGTTTTGATAAGAAGGAGTCAGCAGTACACCCTGAAGATAAAAAATAAACGAATTCATTGGCAGAAAGTTGCAAGACATGCCAGCCACCTGGTGACCGTCAGCCAAAGCATCAACACCTACCGTTCAGGTCGCCATCGATATATACTGAAAGAGCAGATATACGCCGCATTCCATAGTTTATAATATTGGCATTACCATATATAATCGTTAGTTCATTGTCAGAAAAAGTCGTTTAAGCACAACAATTCTAACTAAGTGAAAATGAAAAGTAAAAACTGATCCCAGTACCACGATAAACAAAAGCTAAAACATGTAATAATAAATAAATAAATAAATAAATAATCAATAAGGAAAATACATTAGCAAGAAAACAATGACAAAAGACATAAAATCAATAAGCAGAGGAACAGTTCAATGATAACAGAACGAAATGTTGCAATGCTAAAGCCACCTTTTAAAACAATAATATTACTGAGTATTATACATACTGGATGTGATACGACAATGTCGGCCGCTGCCGCAAGCATCGCTCCCCCGGCCCCAGCGTTCCCCTGAAGAGCAGCAACCACCAACTTATCAGTCATCTTGCTCATTTCCAGTATGACGTCGTCGATTTTATTTATATTATGCCAAGCTTCCAATACTGGGTCGCTGCTGGCTTCAATCCGACAGAGATGGATTCCTGATTTTACAAAAATTCAATATTGTAAACTCCAAAAAACATGTTTCATTTCTATTTTTTCTTGTCGGTTTTCAGTTCATTTCTGATCTGGTTTATTTAGATCAGTTTTAAGCTTGTTTGAGGATTTAAGCCCAAGCACTTCCTTTAAAAATATCCTCACACTATTGCAATTCATTATTCCTATAATACTTTAATAGCTTTAATAGTTTAAGTGAAAATTGCCGTTGTTTTTTATAATCAAATATAACGAATGTACCGAGTACTTATACAGGAAATACAGTAAAAAAATTCTCAGGCAGAATTGTTTGAACATCTGTATATCGAGATCCCACCTGTCGAAAAGAAACGCTCTCCGCCCATCAACACAACAACGCGGACGTGGCTCATCTTGGCAACTTGACTAAGGACCTCTTTCAAATGATCCGCTTGGTTGCAGTCCATGGCACCATTGTAAAAATCAAAGTGAACGTAGCACACTTGTCCGGAATGTCTCAACCAAACTTGGCTATATGAAGACAAACTGCCTAAATCTGCAATCTCTGAGGCCAGCGTTGGTGAAATTGCAGACACTGCTGGCAGTTTGATGGACAACTTCTTTTTGTTCTTGAAAGCAAGTAGAAATCTATGCAAAAGCTTTCAGTTTATTAGAAAAATGCTTATTAAACGGACCCCTCCAATTTTCAAAGCAGGAAGACTAATACATTACATGCGATTCTCATCTAAAAGAGTGATAATAAAAAACATTCTGAGATCCACCAAGGGATTCCTATTGTAGAACGAACTGCAAATTGACACCGGCCGACATTACATTTTCCCACTTGAATTTCTTTAATACACGCTTTGAAATATCCTGGATAAGGCAGTGAAAGATGAAGTTGTCATTACTGCATTCCTCCTGATGCGACAGATGAGACAAAAAAGTCTTGAAAATAATAAAAACACTCTCACCTTCAGGCAAGTTATCCATACTCCCCCATTGTCTCCGCTTTTAACCAAAAGTGCCCCCTGCTTCTTTCCAATTACGGAACCAGGTTTGTAGGCACTCAACATTTGTCCCAAAACTCCACTACGGTCTTGCTCTATGAGGGCACCGTATACCCTATACGTTTCGGTTAGCTGTATGTTGTTGTCCAGAAATGTGATATTAGCAAGGGCGCCTGGCTGTGTATCGGAACTTCGAATGATTCGGCATATATCTTCAGCTGAAGCAGACCAGTCGATCTCCCTGTCGGACTTTTTCATTGAGGGCAACAGGCAGCCTTTTATTTCTGATCGATTGTAATCAAGTGGCGTTGGCGTCACTCCAAGTTGATACCTGTGAATAAGATTAAATGGTATATATTAATGAATTAACGCAACGCACTTTAAAACAGTCTACAGAGATTAAAAAGGAGCTACCTGGTTCCTATGGAGAAGACAACAATTATTATTATTATTATTATCATTATTATTTATTAATTAAATGATTAACCTACAATTATTCATTCAAACAAAGTGCAGTCTAATTGAAGTGAAATACCTCGTAAGCCCGTCAACGACCAGCTCGGCCGCCAAGTCACTGATTTCCCCACCGTACACTCCTGTTTTCGTGGCGTTTGCTTTTAATGGAAATGTCCCCGTGCTCCAGATGTCGCCTCCGTCCATAACCGGGCTAGCTTGCAGCAGCGTCGCACCCCATTCCCTCTTTGCTTGCCGTATCGCCCAATCGATGGAATTAGGTCCCCGGTCACCTGCAATACCAGGATGAAAAACCAAACATGGCCGCTCGGTCGTCTTCCAAATTGTTTCTGGGATGTATTTTGTAAGGTACGGGCAGATGATGACGTCGGGTTGGTAAAGTGTTACCGCATTTTCCATGGCACTTCCACTATCACATGGTACGGCATGAGTAATCACCTGGGTGATAAATATGAATAAATTAATACGCTTTTAGTACCACATGCACAATGTAGGGAAGACCGGGGCTAGTTGGACCCCGGGTTAAGTTGGCCCCCCATCAATTTATGACAAAGTAACTGTGGGGTAAAAGAATTGATCACATCATTGTTGTCCATGTTTTTAGGCTATTAGGGCCTATATGGGGCGAGTAAATCCCGAAATATGGAATCGAGACGATTGCGCTCGGTCGTAATGCTCGATGCTTTCGAGTTACGAGGTCCAGGACAGCCAACTACCGTTGCATCGGTATGTGCAGACTGGTGGATCCAAAATAGGGGGTAGAGCAAGAATATACAGAAAGCTTTTACCTCCTTGGGCATATATATATATATATATATATATATATATATATATATATATATATATATATATATATATATATATATATAAGCAGAGCACACGACTGGAACATATTTGATTTTCTCTCGTTAAGTTGTTTATATTATTATTTTTTTCATGTGTGGGAAGAGCTAGATTACCACAGCAGGAAAAAAAAGGATCTCTGGCTCTACAATTAATGGATTACATCGTAGCCTCTAATCACATGTAAGATAACTTTCAAATCACATAAATGTACGTCGATTCATATGCCCCGACGACATAATAACCTTGATTATATCAACAGTGGGCTGTGGAAACATGGACAACAACACGGTGCCCTACTGAACTAGTTAAAGACCTCAACTAGCTACCTGTAGGTCAGGCGTATCAGCGACCGTTGCAGTGACTAGACACTGACATGAGGGTCTTTTGTGAGGCGTGTAACTATTTTACAGACGATAATTTGGAAAATATGGAGATCCTAAATGTCGCTTTTAATTGTTGTCATATGACTTAGAATGGGCAATGTATTTTTGTTTGAATTGCGAACTCAATTAATGAACTGCATGATGTCAGAATGCCATCAAAGATATTATGAACAGTTTTTAAAACACGATTTTAATTCTCACTTTCATTGACCAGTCAGTAAAATAGGAAAAAAACTGATGAAAATGATTTGGAAAAAAATATTCCATATTAAATGTTAAGTCTGCATGTTCAGACTGGTGAATTCAGAATTTGGTCAAGAGGAAAGGGCTAGAATAAAAGATTTTACCTCTGTCGGCAAATATATCAAATATATGAAAGCAGGGCACACTACTTGTATTAGAACATGTTTAATTTTGTCTCGTTCAGTTGTTTATATTACTATTTTTTAGGAGGGACAATATAAGAGAAAGGATCACTAGCTCTACAATGGATGCACATTGTTGCCCCCTATCACATGTAACTTGGCTTACTTTCCAATCACGTACATGTACGTCGATTTACATGCCCCAGTACAAAATCACGGGTTAGAATACTATCAACAGTGGGCTGTGGCAAACATGGACAACAACACAGTGACCTACTGAACTATAAAGACCTCAATGGAAGCTGTGCCATTAAAATGTGTAAACAGGCCCACATTAACTGATAGAACACAAAAGAGGCATTATACCTATACCTATGAATGCTATATATAATTGAAAACTATGATATAATGTTAATTGTGACACTACCGACTTTTCACCTATATATGTGGACTATTTGGGTAAAAAAGAAGCCTCAATCAATACAATCACGTTGGTTGTATCGATATCGATACTTGCAGAATGTCACTTACCTTCATTCTTTGTAAGGTCATTTTAACTCTATTGGTCAAGCTGTTAACAGCATTCGAGACGAGTAAAATACGGAGTCCTTCCAGTAAAGACGGGTTTCTTGCTACCTGACCTGGCATAGGCAAATACGGCGGCATAGTTGAATGTCTTTTTCTTTCTGTCTAGCTATCCACGAACAACTAATAAGGCAAAACAAAATAACGATATGAAACAATATTAAATAATATATTTTCAAATCGTAGGTATTTAGCACGCGATAGTAAATTACCCGCTAGCTGCTCGAGGAGGGGTGTCAGACAATTAAGCTGATTCCACTGATTGCACTTAAGCGAGAACCCCCCGCAGAGTTGGACCGACCCAGCAAGTACGGCGTGTGAACCTGATCGCGGTCTTAAACCAAAGACTTGCATAACACCTGTGTGCGACCTTGCGTGAAGTCTGGGACACGACTCTTCTTGACCGGACTTAAGGCACGACCGCACGCTGATATTGGGCAGTCAGTTGTTAGCATTAAGAAATTATCTACTTATTTTCTATTCTGTGACAGCAATTCAGTGTATGAAATCAATGTACATCTTGGTTTGCCTGTATCATGAGATTTCTTCATTCAACTCTCGATACAATATCATCAATATCACGACTACGGACTAAGACTATGTCAAAATTTGGAAAAAAAATACCACGTGCGCAAGGTTTCGAGTGAGGTGCACGGCGACGCAAAACATTCTAGCCTTTTTTGCCCAGGTTGAATAAAAGGACGTAAAATCATTTTTACAAGTTTGGAGATCACAATATATTCATCCCATTTTAAACCGCAAACAATAGGAGTGACAAAGACGTGTGCTAAATATGACGGACTTATTAGAAACTATTATAAACCAAATGCCGATTCGCGTCCCACGAAATTTACATACGTACCCTGAATAACCTAGTTGATGTAGTTGCACTGCCGCTTGTCTTCTCCTTTTTTAATACTTAAATAATATTTTACTGCTTATCGGAATAATTAATTAATTAATTAATTAAGCACCGAGTTCGGTATATGTGTATATGTGTCGATCACACAAATGTGAGTATAGCTGGGCTCTTCTATAGCGCCGGTTTGTACTTGACATTATGCAAATGAAAAAAATTATATAACAGATTCTATATCTAGCCTTCATCGGTCCACCAGCAAAATGGTGTCAACCACATTCAGTGTGAGTGTACTGGCCAGGCAAACTACCATTACGTAAGAAAAATTGAATAACAAGAAGTTTGCATGTCGCATTATTTATATAGACAGCCTAAAGAGAAATTTAAGACCCCGTTTCCATAGATTTTAGATCGATCTATCCCTGTGGGGAGTCTCACTTAAGCGTCTGTCCCGCCTACTGAGCTGTAAGGGGGTAATTAACTATGGTGCGCGCTCGGCTGACTGCAATTTAGCGTGAACCCCCAGGGAGTTAGGTCGATCTAAATCTTAATCTCTGGATCGATCTAAATCTGTGGGAATGCACCCTAAGTGGCACAGTTTACAGTTTGGTCTCATTGAGGCTTGTAGGTGAGGAGCTTGGTCCGTGTATTGGGGGGTGGGGGTGGGAGAGGTGGGGAGGGGGTGGAGGGGCAGAGTGGTTGCCATTTCGCCAGAATATGAAAAACGACCGATTTGTCCTTTTCTGGCGAAATAGAAATCGCTTTGTCTGCCCACCCCCCACCCCCAACCATAATACACTGACCGAGCCTGACCCTGTAGTCACCACGCTAGCCTGCCCCCATACCTACAGTTGTATGTATTTGGTGCAAGCTGACAGAGAACTTGGTATAAAAACAGAATCAATTTAGCCGTTCGATTTGAAAATGCTTTATTTTGTGTTATTTCATTACCGTATTTTGTCTTAGGTTATCCGCCTCTAACCGTCTTGAACATTGTAGTTCGGAAATGCATATGTGGTGAATTTTAAACAGGGGAATGTGTTTTGTGTTTTTGCCCCATAACAACCTGTACACGCGAAGGGCACTTTGTGTAAGATTTAAACTTGGTAGAACTTTTTGGAACAGCAAGTCCTCGTGTGATGCTTGCCACGTGGTAAAGTGGAATGTTGTGAACGGAGTACAGGTATTTTCCTAATGATATACATGTATAATACCCCCTTTACACTGGACGGCGTCCTTTCTGCGTCCTTTCTGCGACCATAAATTTGGCATCTCTGTGGTCTTAATAAGGAGGCACGAGCATTGATTTTGTATCAGAATGAATGCTCAATGATCGGCAAGTTGTCGGGATGTAAAGTATTATAATTTCTTTAACTCTCAAATGGGGCCGTACTGCTGGACGCAGAAAGGACGCCGTCCAGTGTAAAGGGGGCTTACTGCTGTACTTGTCCATCATGCCCCATCATATCCAGTACAGCAGGGGAGGATTCAGAGATAATTTCTGACAGTCTTCCAGATCCATCCATTTTTGACCGTCTTCCGACAGAGAAAAATTAGATACCCGTCAATTTTAACTTGAAAATCTGACCGTCTTCCGGAAGATCCAGAAGACGGCTTCAATCCACCCCTGTGTATGATACACTAACATGAGTTATTAGTGACAATATCAGATTTCTCCCGTTTGATTGCAAATGTAGTGCCTTGTGCAACTGGAATATTTATGTGCTATCTGTTCATGTTGAAATCAACGATAGGGGGCCTTTATCTATCGCTCTACTATGTAAAAGACCAATCAAATCAAATTACAATAAGATATGGTAATTTTTAAAAACATGAAAGTAGGTAAGATATGATTGCAAATTTTATTAAGTAGAGTTAAATACTTCAGGATGGCTCTCACAGCAGCACTTTCAGCATATTCCAAGAGGGAACTACACGTATTTGCTGTAATAATTATATTTTATTATATATTTTTATAACTTCCTTCAATAAATACCCTTCAATAGTCATTGATTCACCGCTTACCACGTATGTAAATATCAAGATATAAACAAAAAAGAAACAAAGTAAATTCCATGAAAACCGTTCTCCAATTGTAATGAAGGTAAGCAAAAATATATAAGCTGTTAGTCTTTTTGTTGTTGTCATGACAATGGACACTACTAGTATTTCCCCAGTATAACAGTTATCACAAAAATTCGCAAAAGTCACAATAAAAGTTTGAAATTTGAAAGATTTTACTTCTCTGTGCGGAAAGAAATTGTCCTGACCCGTCCCTGCATCACGCGAGATTATGCGAGACTATGAGTGAACAAATGCTTCCTTGCCGCTTCCTTGAATTTCCCTGAACAAACGTGGCTTCATGTTCAGTTCGTCGTATTCCTTGTCAGTAAGTTTGCATACAAACTTTTGTCTCTCTCTGTGGAAGAAAGCCGAATTAAAACATTGCCACATCAACTTAAGCTCTTTATCCCGGTGGCTGGAAAGAACTCGGAACCACTCTTCGTTACGTGTGCGTTTTTTGGCCGTGATCATTTCTCCCGTAGCTTTGTCCCTGGCTAAATCGTCAATGAAGTTCGGGAGCTTTTCATAAAAGTCCATCTTGTTCCTGTAAAATGAAAATAAAATGTCAATTTATACACTGTACATATAGAGCTGTACACATATACACTATACATGTACATGTATACACTACTTCTTATACCGGTACATATTGTACATTGTACATATACACTCAACTGTACCACAATGAGTCACCAAATGTCCAATTCTACTAGATCTCTTGCCTCTCCTCACATCATGAAACATATTGTGATATTGTCATAATAAACTCCATTTGTAATAGAACACATTTACATTTACCTAAGAGAGGACAGCCAACTACGGTTACGATATGCATATACATATACCAGTAGATTGGTGGCTACAAAGTTTTGTTAAGGGGGTGGAGGCAAGAAAAAGGTTTTACCTCCCTTGGCAAAAAAAAATAATAATAATAATAATAAAATAAAATAAAATGCAGAGCACACAACTGGGAATAGCTTTGTATATTAATATGGTGGAAAGAAGAGAGTACCACAGCAGGAAAGAGAGGATCGCAGAAAAGAAAGGAAAGCAACAATGGACAAATATGTGCACTGATGCCACCAATCACATGTAACATGTCTTACTTTCCAATCACGTTGTCCACAATGCCCAAATCTTGCGCATGCTCAGCGAGGATAGGCTCTGGGTGCGAATACATTATTTCATCTGCCTTTTCTTTACCAACTCTCTTCGGGAAGAAGTATGTCCAGTATTCCGAGCCATATAAGCTCATGTTTTGATAAGAAGGAGTCAGCAGTACACCCTAAAGATAAAAAACATACACAATAATCATTTGGCAAAAAGGTGTGCACAGGATATGCCAGCCACCACGATAAAAAACTAAAACAATAAATAAATAAATGAACCAGTCAATAAATAAATAAAAAGAACAATACATTAAAGGCAAATAAATTCAAAAGGCATAAAGCCAATAAATAGAGGAATATGATAACAAATATGTTGCAATGCTAAAACCAATATATATATATATATATATATATATATATAAACAATAGTATTATTATACATACTGGATGTGACACGACAACGTCGGCCGCTGCCGCAAGCATCGCTCCCCCGGCCCCAGCGTTCCCCTGAAGAGCAGCAACCACCAACTTATCAGTCATCTTGCTCATTTCCAGGATGACATCATCGATTTTATTTATATTATGCCAGGCTTCCAATACTGGGTCGCTGCTAGCTTCTATATGGCAGAGATGGATTCCTGATTTTACAAAAATATTATATTTTAAAAAATTTTTGAGAAACATCTTTTTCTATCTTGTCAGTTTTAAGTACATTTTTAATCTAGTTAATTAAGTTTAGTTTTAAGCTGATAAGAATGAAGTAATTTTTCTTTAGTCAACAGCTTTATATTGAAATAGTTTTAAAGTACTGCTAGACATCGAGATATTGAAGGTAAAATTATTGAGCTGTTGACTGAAGAAAAATTATTTCATTCTTATAACATAACACAGCTTATGAAATTATTCTCTGAGTTTTAAGCTTGTTTCAAAAATTAACCCTAGGCACTTTCTTTAAAATATATCTACTCATTATTGCTAAACATCATTTCTTAAATAGTTTCAATAGGTTTAGTGATAAAATGTCGTTGTTTTATAAAAACAATTAAAAAGCAAATATATATTATACCGGAAGTATAGTAAAACTTTTTTCAGCCAGAATTGTTTGAACATCTGTGTACATCAAGATCTCACCTGTCGAAAAGAAACGCTCTCCGCCCATCAACACAACAACTCGGATGTGGCTCATCTTGGCAACTTGACTGAGGACCTCTTTCAAATGATCCGCTTGGTTGCAGTCCATGGCACCATTGTAAAAATCAAAGTGAACGTAGCACACTTGTTCGGAATGGCTCAACCAAACTTGACTATATGAAGACAAATTGCTCAAATCTGCAATTCCCGAGGCTAGCGTTGGTGAAACTGCAGACACTGCTGGTAGCTTGACAGACAACTTCTTTTTGTCCTTGAAAAACATTGGATATATCTTTTCTTTCCGACGAATATTATTTATTTTTTCACTTTACATCTTAAATACAGCAAATAAAATTAAATAAAGCAGAATTAAATTTGTTTTACGTTTTATTTTGGTCTGATGACATTCAACTGCATTTTCACTGCGGAGCAGTTCTATTTGATTGATGGAAAACTTTCATGGCCGCTGGTCTTCAGAGTTAGTAAAAGCGACTCCACCACAAGATTTATTTAGCAAGCTAGCTTTTACGTTGCTCTGACGCTCAGGGTAGGTATTAGAAAAAAGCTCATCAAATGAGCCCCTCTAATTTTCAAAGCAGAGGGGCTAATCGCGCTCGGCTGTCACCTTGATTGGATAGTAAACGGTTGTCGTAAAATCGCTAAATAATATTAAAACCGGGTGCATAAACTAGAAAACCACCTAGGACAACCTTAGACTGCCACATTAATCCAATACAATGCAAAAATAAACTATAACAAGTGGTTAAAGCCTTCAAACCGAATGTCGTAAATCCCCATATACCTCCATAGAGACAATAAAATAGAGTCAGCTTGTGAAACAAAAATAAACCAACTTAAACATAATAATCGAAATAAAATACTGCCGGGCATCGGAGCGGCCTAAAACTTGGCACGCTTACCGCAAATACTACAGGCTACATCATCCCGCCGCTCGTTTGTAAATTCCGTGCATGGCATACGCTCAATCAAACCGTATATCCAAATTGCACCTCTGATGTTTAAATTGGTCCTCTCTAACCTACCATTACGAAAAAGAAGCCATGCCATTGGACAATGCGACCTCTGCGGTTACGTCATTTCCTGAATTGGATTGTAGAGAGGACTTTACGACATTCGGTTTGAAGGCTTTAACCACTTGTTATAGTTTATTTTTGCATTGTATTGGATTAATGTGGCAGTCTAAGGTTGTCCTAGGTGGTTTTCAAGTTTATGCACCGGGTTTTAATATCATTTAGCGATTTTACGACAACCGTTTACTATCCAATCAAGGTGACAGCCGAGCGTGGGGCTAATTAAACATGTTACTCACTCTAGAAGAGAGAGGAGAAACATTCTGAGATCCACAAAAGCATACTTTCTGTAGTAAACACTCGTCACCTGTCAACTACTATTCACGAATGTCTCCTGATGCGACAGTTGAGACAAATAAAAAATAGGTTTGGAAAAATGAAAAGAAAACACACTCACCTTCAGGCAAGTTATCCAAACTCCCCGATTGTCTCCGCTTTTAACCAAAATGGACCCTTGCTTCTTTCCAACTACAGAGCCAGGTTTGTGGGCACTCAGCATTTGTCCCAAAACTCCGCCACGGTCTTGCTCTATGTGGGCACCGTATACCCTATACGTTTCGGTTAGCTCTGTTTTGTTGTCGAGAAATGTGATATCAGCAAGGGCGCCTGGCTGTGTATCGGAACTGCGAATGATTCGGCATATATCTTCAGCTGAAGCAGACCAGTCGATCTCCCTGTCGGACTTTTTCATTGAGGGCAACAGGCAGCCTTTTATTTCTGATCGATTGTAATCAAGTGGTGTTGGCGTCACCCCAAGTTGATACCTTGTGGACATGATGGAATGGTATATAATTGAATTAAAACGCAACGTGTTACCGCACTTTAAAACAGTCGACAGAGACTAAAAAGGAGCTACATGCTTCCTCTGGGGAAGACAACCATTATTATTATTATTTATTTATTTATTATTTAATTAATTAACCTGCAATTAATCACTGAAACAAAGTGCAGTCTAATTGAATTGAAATACCTCGTAAGCCCGTCAACGACCAGCTCAGCGGCCAAGTCACTGATTTCCCCACCGTACACTCCTGTTTTCGTGGCGTTTGCTTTTAATGGGAATGTCGCCGTACTCCAGATGTCGCCTCCGTCCATAACCGGGCTAGCTTGCAGCAGCGTCGCACCCCATTCCTTCTTGTCTTGTCGTATGGCCCAATCAATGGAATTAGGTCCCCGGTCACCTGCAATACCCGGATGAAAAACCAAACATGGCCGCTCGGTCGTCTTCCAAATTGTTTCTGGGATGTATTTTGTAAGGTATGGGCAGATGATGACGTCGGGTTGGTAAAGTGTTACCGCATTTTCCATGCCACTTCCACTATCACACGGTACGACATGAGTAATAACCTGGATGATAAATAGGAATAAAAATGCATACTATTACTAGCAGTCACGTATACGCAAATAAAGGGCGCTATCCTTAGATGGATATAGAAAAACACTTTTAAGCGGTTCCCCGTGGTGTTGGAGTATGATCATGATATTTTCTTCCCAAACAGTTCTCAAAATCCTCTAGCATTCGCTTTGTGAGTTTTCTTCTTTTTTAATATTTCACGGAGACCACCAGGTTTTCCTGTACGTTTCAGAAGGAAATATCGATACCTGGCATTTCTGAATGTGTTTTTATCGTATCTAAAGTCAGAATTGGTAAAGACTACTAGTTTGTGTTGAATATGTATAAATAGAAAAATATTGCGGATAGCATATCTGTGAAAACCCCTCCAGATGTAGTATTTTTAAGTATGTGCTTTTTTATTTCAATTATATGGAAATTTTAAGACTCACTGGATGCTTTATTCCCTTTTTACTTTTTTTTACACATTTATATCTGTTAATGTGTTCTCCCCATTTCATTTACCGGCAATTTTGCACTCAGTGATACCTCAATGCGGCAATAAAGACATGTATATGTATATCAAAATCTGAAGGTATTTTAAGGCTGATTTTAACCATGGGTAGCTACATGTACATGTATTACAGGGCATTAATTCGTTTATGCTACCAACAATTCATTTCATATTTCCCAGTTCTCACTAATGAACTTATATCATACTTTGTGATCGTTTATGATTATGATTTGGTAGTCCGAGGATATTTTTAAATATATATTTAAAATATACATAATAAGTCATTTAAACGCACTCGAAAAGTTATTCAGTTTTTCAAAGTACTCAGTGCCCATGTGGTATGAATGTCTCTGAAGATCTGATAGTTCTCAGTTTTATACGGTATATTTTTTAGTTGGACGCAGAGCATAAGGCACTTTTATTTACCTCAGGTAGTAGATGATGTGTTTTGTGATCATTGGAGATTAAAATGGCAATAAAAAATTTAGAGTTGGGATTTAATAGTTTAAAGAAAATGGCAATATATGCTTTCGTTCATAAAACTAAGAAAAACATGTGGGAAGTTTAACAGCGTGAATATACATGACAAACTGACTTTAAAAACCAACACCAAAAACTACACCAATTCATGATCAGTTGTTTACGCCATAAACATAAAAACAGTGTGCAGCCCAGTGTTATAAAAGGCGAGAAACCCGGAAGATTTGTTAAAATAAGTTAACCCGTTGACAAGCTGTCGTGATGTTTTTCTATTTATTTATTTATTATTATCATTCTAAAAAAAACAGGGCTCAGTTTTAGAAAGGACGTTATGCACTAACCATACAAAAGCCAAACCAGTGGATAAATTCTCTAAACACCTGCTCCCCACACCCTTCTGGATCCACCACTGGCAAATCATAAGGCAAAACCTTTATTTTTCTATTTGCATTTCTTTATTTAAAGTTTTAAAATTATATTACCATTAATATTTTTATTATTTAATTTCATTTTTTCTATTTTATTTTATTTATTTATTTATTTATTTATTTATTTATTTATTATTTTTTAATTATTTATTTTATTTTATGTATTTATTTTTTTATTATTTATTTATTTATTTATTTTTTTTTTTGAGGGAGGCTTTTAATATAACCGGCTGTCTGCACGCAAGACAAGATTAAGATCAGGAACCAACATGCCCTCTACCAACTTGCAGATAGAAGGCTGCAGAGAGAAATGTAAACAACATATACACTTTAAGTGAGAACAACACTCCATGTGAGACTCAAAAATTCACAATTAATACACAGTTAACAGCCCATAGAAATATAAGTAATTCCATTTTAACGTCCAAGCTAAGGTTATCGACACTGTTTTCTAAAATCTGAGCTTGCCATCACGTGGCATGTGAACTATTCACTGTATGAACTACACGTTTGCCAAATTAGCGATCTGGAAACAGCCGTTTCATGCGTTTGTACAGTGTACAAATGCCATCAAAATTATGTCTTTTAGGTCATCATAGCTCTCAAATGTTTGTTTTTAAAGTCAAAGCATTACTTTTGTGTCCGTTCTGTAATAAATTGAACAAAGAAAGATTCAATCACTCTGCAATTATCGTAAGCAAACACATCCAGGACGCGGCTATTTTAGCAACACACTGTACTACAAGTCAGGTCAGGTCACCCACCTGTTACTAGTACAGATGTACCCAGTAAAGCAGTATAACCTGTTAAATGGTCAAGATGTGGGCGAGTAAACGGTCAACACCACCCTCCTCTCTGTAGGTAAGTGTGGAGGGTGGTTAGACACCCTATGAAACGAAAAATAAAATCCATCTCTCTCTTTCTAGATAAAGCCAATTAACGGATTTCCAGCAACGCCGCAAGATAGAGTGGTGCCCGTGGGGTTAATCAGCCAAAAACAAACAACTCATCGTTACGATGTTGATGGTCGACTATTATTTGATTGATTGGTTGATTGTACATATTTTTTCAGGACACGTGTCCCCGAATCTCACGTCGTCAGGTGACCTCTGTAGAAAAACATGCCGAAATTCGCCTGTGCCACAAATTTATATGGCCCCATAAACTGTCAGAGCACAAAGGTGGCATTGTACTAATGTTCATGAAATTCAATGCTGTTTAATTGAAAACAATAGTTGGTGGTATGAATATTATAGATGGCCAACCTCCGTAAACAGGGGCGAATCCAGGATTATCTGAAGGGGGTCCATTTTTTTTCTTTTTAGCAGTTTAGCACTATGATTCACCTATTCAAAATTCTAATATCAAGAGGGGAATATTGGTGTGATTTTTTTCCAGAAACCGAAGGGGTGGTCAGTGCCCCCCCCTGTCACCCCCCTTAATCCGCCACTGCTTAAATATCTCTTAATAGATTGTTACAAAAACACATTCGACTAAATTTTAATGTCTAAACGGATTCATTAGGCCTTAGTAAGTACGGGTAACCGACGTTTGCCCCAGGAAATATCCGTTAATGGCACTTTTCGGCCAAAATGAAGAGTTTAAGGGGACACATTGACCTAGCTCGAAACCCACAAAGCAAGTTACGGGACAGTGAAAAAAGGAAAGAGCACGTGGCATGTGGCATGTGATCGGTGGATTGTTTGAATATTACTCTTGCCAAATAAGCGGTCTGTCGTTGCGACAGAGAAAAAAATCCCATCAAAATCATGTATGTTAAGTCATCATAGCTCTCAAATGTTTGTTTTGAACGTCGAATCATTACTTTGGTGTCCCTTCTAAGATAAATTTAAGCAAATTAAGATTCATTTTATTCTGCAGTTATCATAAACATACATTTCTTGGTCGCGGCTACTTTAGAAAATTGTGCACTTGGGCCTGAACTTAGATCGACTACCTTTAGAAACGTGCTAAAATTCGGCTGTGCCACGAAATTATATAAATAAATAAACTGTCAGAAGGCTACTCAGCTGAAAAAGAACATCAAGCAATAATTAGCTTTATGGATATAATATTCTGATGACGCCCTTGTTCATTTTAATGAAAAAATAAATTAAAACTCCTCAAGCAAAACATATATGCCTTGGTTGTGTCGACACTTGCTTTACTTACCTTCATTCTTTGTAAGGTCATCTTAACTCTATTGGTCAAGCTGTTAACAGCATTCGAGACGAGTAAAACACGGAGTCCTTCCAGTAAAGACGGGTTTCTTGCTACCTGACCCGGCATGGGCAAATACGGCGGCATCGTTGAATGTCTTTTCTTCTTTTCTAGCTATCCACGAACACCTAAGGCGAAACAAAACGATGAAATGAAATAAAATAAAAGATGTTCAAACCTCAAAGGCTTAACCGATGCTGTTATTAAACAAGGTTCCCTGTTAATGTTGACCAATGTTATCATGCGCCTTATGCACTTTTATGAGGACAGGTTGGGTTACTAGGTCACGCTATATACAGTATCCGAATTTTTATATTATGTTAGGGCCCGTTAACAATCAATTTTGCTAAACTAGCTAATGCGGACGAATTCCACGGAGATTCTCGCTGAATGCAATCAGTAACGCCTCCTCTTCTTTCCAACGTACTCGTGTAAATGCCAGCTTCCCTGTTTTCTAGTCAAAGCAAGGAGAAGGCGTGTTTATATCTGTTAATCTGATCGCATTCAGCTATGGGCCATGTGGAGTTCGTGCGCATGAGTTAGGTCGACTAAAGCCATTGTGAACGGTCCTTGCGGTAACAGAGGGTAACCAAGGTCAAGGTTTAGGTCAACACACCGCGATTTGACCAAACGTACAATGATATCTTAAATGTAAATAAACATTTGAGAGGGCGATAAGGGTGGATGGTCAGCAAGGACAAACTACAGGTAACAAGGGGACAACCTAGCCTCCAAAACAACATTTGTTGACATGTATATATATTATGACGAATTACTACATGTGGGGTCAGGTTCTGTGTGCAATTTACATCCACCGGAGAGGCTACTTATATGTACGTGCCGAAATTAAAATTAAAAGGATAATAACTCTTCGTTTCGGTCAAAAAATGAATTTTCCTGGAGTAAACGACAATTTTCCCATACTTACCAATGGTTAATGAATCCATTTATACATTCAAATTTAGTCCCTGGTTTTTTTCTAAAAAGTTTAGTTTTTAGTTAAAATCTCTTAAGAGATTTTAACAGAGTATAGCCATCAATGGAGGTAACATGGTCTAAAGACAAGCTCAGATATCAGAATAATAGCTTTAACTCCCGTTTTTGTGGTAAAACAGAATATATTATATTTCTATGAGTTATTCACAATGTTTTTATTGTGAAATATAGATCTCATACAAAGAGTTATTATCCCTTTAATTTCTAACTTAGGCACCAAAAGCGACCGTTAAATTTTATAGAGCAGCTCAGGCCCATTACTAGAAGTGGTATTCCATTTATTTATTTATTTGTTCATTTATTTATTTATTTATTTATTTATTTATTTATTTATTTATTTATTTATAAAGTAGGCTGGGGCAGATGTTATTTTATGAAGCAATATTAAATAAAGTTGAGTTGAAATATAGCGGCTAGTATTTCATTTTTAAATGTTTTTTTAACCGATTAATCATATTCTGCTTAAATTGCCTAAATTAAAATTAATTTCTTACTTTGGCACCAAAAGGGACTATTAAATGTTGAAAAGCAGTTCAGACCATTACTAGAAGTGGTATTTCATTTATTTATTTATTTATTTATTTATTTAGACGTTATTTTATGAAGTAGTATTTTAATTTTAAGAATAAAGTTGAGTTTGATTATAGCGACTATATTCCATTTTTATTTTTAAATGATTTTTTTCTAACCAATAAATAAAACTCTGCTATAACGAAAAGAAAAAAACTCTCTAAAATATATACGTGTGTATTCATTTACGTTCAAATTTTTTCAACAAGCCAAACGTCTGTTTTAACGATAACTGCGTCAAGAGAATTTTAAATACATTTTATCTTAATATCCTACTGCTAGTTTTCTGTTTATTAAAACCTTTATTCACATTTATTATAGAAATCTAAGTGGAAATGCCTTTTATATATGTGATAATAGTTGTACATGTAACAGCGTTGAGGGTCTTGTGAGCGGTTTCAAGAAATAAATCATTTTAATCATATTCCTCCCTATTGTTATGCTAGTGCGTCTCCATCATTTGCACTAGCACTTATTAGGGGTTATAATTACGCAACATTCAGTATTTTGCTGAGCATCGATTAAAACTAATATAAAATATATTTGCCTGTAGCTTCTGAGGCACTTCAGTTACCAACTTTCCCCGTAAGCCAAAACCTGTTCTCCCACTTGCGCTCTCTCTCTCTCTCTCTTTCCATGAATTTGAAGTTATAAATTAAAAGAAAATGATACGTACGTATTTTTCACATCAGGATCACCAATGATTATATTACTGACTTACAGAAGTTTTGTATGATGATAAAAATTAGTATTTCAAATAGCATCTTACAAAGCATACCTTTAGCTGGGGTGGCACATGTAAAAATGACCAGGTTATCAACGGCGTCGGATGAGGGTGCCACGTCACAGCAACCTAGCTCCTCGTTATATAGGCTCCCTGGTACTATGTGTATCATCTATCCCGATATATATTAATACATAGGTGTCGTGACTCACTTTTTTTTAATCTCAGTATACTTGAATTTTACCAATCTATGTTGTCTTAAGAAGGCATGAGTTAAATACTTCCCTTTAAGATGCTATCCCTACTGACAATACGTGACGCGACAAGATATATAATGCGTGGGCCTTAGTTCCACCTTTATCATTGAAACCAAAATGCGTTTTATCTATCAACATTATGGATAGGTCTAAGGACTTTCGAAAACGAGCCCACTGCTGCAAGAGCGATACACCATGAGAATAATGGATTAAAAAAATCACAACAAAAAAATAAAACATAACATTTCTCATTTTAAAACTGTTACAATATAGATTTATAGACAATATATATGCTTGTTGGTATTTATTAGTATTATACTGTTTTATTCGTTATATGTCTGAAATAATTAAGATAACTTTAACTACGAACATTAAACCCGTTTTAATACTTAAACTGACAAAATTTGATATTACTACGGACAAGAGAGTTTTTTTTTTCTTTTTTTTTTTTTTTTTTAAGGAGGGGGGATTTTATATAGCAGATGAGTGGGCCATTGCTTTAATTAATTATTCGCCTGGACATCCGTCAACAAGGTACAAAAGATATGGAAATCTGATATACCTCGACAACTTAAAAATCAACATATTTCAAACATTGGTAGAGCCAGTACTTCTTTACGGTTCTGAAACATGGACCTTAACAAAACAACCTTAACAAAAATTATTGATGGGTTCTACACAAGATTACTTAAAGCTGCACTGATTATCATTGGAATATCGGACAAAGTGCCAAACTTGGAACTTTATGGCGAAATACCGAAAGTCGCCTCTGAAATAAGAGACCGCAGATTGAAGGCTGCTGGCCATTTTTACCGTCATACAGAAGCAGCAGCAAAAAGATTTCTGCTCTAGGTACCGGCGCATAGCTCATTGGGCACACGAAACAAACCTTACGTCCAGTTCTCCTTGGGAAGACTGGCTTGGAACACATAAATGAGATGAATTTTAAATTTCGTTTCATCAGGGTGTCTAGCCAGTGCCCTTACACCCTCCTCCAGCGAGGAAGTTGGAGTTGACGGTTTAGTTGCCCCCATCCTGACCCAGAAACAGGTTGCGTTAGTTTAGAGGACAGGATACCAGTAGCAGGAAGGCTGACCTGGCGTGACCCGACTAGACATATTGCTTTGCCTGACCTCTTCTATATATGACATGTGAAAACGATGATGAAAAATGGAATGACCCCCTTAATATGGCTCTCTTCTGCGACGGTGCACCATTTTAATGGTTAAAACTTTCTTAATGGACAAAACTTTACAGGACATATTAGTGAAAGACGTCATCGCCCAGGTAGCCTATGGAACAGGGTCGACCGCGGCAGGAGTAATATAAGTTTTATTTTATTTTCCACGTAAAGCAGGCCTTTCTTCCCTTCACTTATTAGGTAAATAAATAAATCAATAAATAAATAAATAAATAAATAACGAGCGTTAACAGATGAAGCCAAGCAACATCACTTCTACATGTATACGCCCTAAAAGTATCAGCTTTTACGAGAATAATCTGCTGTTTTTTACATCACCCTACTCCAGTGTGCCATTTTTTAAAGAGCTGAGGTTATTATTCAAAGAAAAAAAACGAGGCAAATCGCTTCTAGCATTATATGCTCTCCTTAACGTGTCAGTCTTACCCTCTTCTCTCTCTCTCTTTTTCTCTATCTCTCTCCCTCTCCATGGATTTTAAAGAAATTATAAAACAAAGAAGTCCTACGTATACATTTTAGTACCTGGAGAGGCAACGCAAATATTTCTGAGAAACGTAAGTCTATCCTTAAAAAGAAATTTAATAGTTTTTTTTTACTATTATATCATTTCAAGTAGCATACCTTCAGTTGGAGTATTAATTTCGACCAGCGTCCGAGAAGGGCACGACTAAAACTGGTGATTCAGACGTGTTTCTTGATCACTGCTACGTAAATATGTACGAAGGTATCGTAGCACGCGTCTTCGTCTTTTTCTCTTCAATCTGAGTACACTTGAATTTAGCCACCCTATGTTGTCTTCACTAAATTAGAAGGTTGGAGAAAAATATCCCCATTTAAGACAACGTTCCAGAGTCCTTGCTGTCCCAGGCCCTAGCATTTTTATACGTTTGTATACGCATTTTATAAGCATTTTTTTACATTGACCAATCAAACGCATGTTTAGAATAGAATTGGACACGTAAGCAAGCATATGGGGCGTGGCTTTAAGTAGGGGACCAAATACAAATCACGCCATTGAATAAAATTGTTTCGACAAGTTCTGGTGAAATGCATCCTGATATCCTATTTCAATGACGGTAAACAAAAACTTGACACTATGAGGCTCTGTGCGACGCATAAACGATAACCGGCTGTACTACCGAGTGTTTTTTTTTTTTTCGCCACCTTTGCAAATTTTTTTTTCGAGAGAAAAATTCTTTGAATTATTTTTTAAATTCATCATTTCAAATAGCAACCTTCATTAAGCATACCTTCAGTGTGAGTGATAATTTCCTCCAGTTTGTTAACAGCGTCCGAGAAAGGCACGAAACGAAAAGGAGTCCTGGTAAATTAAGACGTGTTTCTTGCTCTTTGTTATGTGAATACAAAAGTGTCGTGGCACGCGTCTTTTTCTCTTCAATCTGTGTATACTTGAATTTTACCACCCTATTAGTATGTCGCCTTTAAAAGGTAAGAGCAAAATATTCCCCTTTAAGACAATGTTCCACAGTCCTTGCTATCCCAGGTTTTAACGTGTTCGCTGACCAATCAAACTCACATTTTAAATAGCGTCGGACACGTCAACGACCACGGAACATGTTGTAAAACACGGTTTCAAGGCGGATGTATTTTAGTCAGGGATCGAATACAAATCACGCCACTGAGTCTAATGCACTGAGCTATCAAATTGATCCGTGAGTACTGTTGAAGGACGTTTTGCGGTTAGATTGTTTCTAGGACAGTACGTGACACCATAGAAGTATTGGTGACACTAATAGGCATGGGTAGCCGCCTGTACTCTGAGCAGGAGCAGTAGTAGTAGTTTATTTCTGTGTTGTGGATACATTAATAACAAAAAGTAATACACAATAAAAAGAACACAAACGTACACAGAGCTCATAACACAGTGATGCTGATGAATAAATTATACAAGTAAATACAGGGAATACGCACACAATACATGTATCTACAACAACATGCACGGGACCTTCACGTAGCTCATATTACGCTGTTAAAGTTGGGTCCAAACTCCTCATTTAGTTGTTTAGTCACGAGGCATTCAAGCAGAACATGCCTCTCTGTTTGCACTGATACCTCGCACACACACACAGTCACAGAAATGTGCCCGGAATTAGCCGGAGACCCATATCTGTGGATATCAAGTGAAAAATCATAAATGAATCTGTGGCCCTGGTAGAGGGTAGGAGAAAAACAGATGGAAGAAAATAGAAATGAATCGAGTAGGTTGTAAGGACATATCGTGCCAGAGATCAATTAACGTGTATAAATTAGCAAAATTATCTTGGTTTCCATTCATTTTATTATATTATCGGTGTAGTGTATTTCGATGCAATTCTTAAAATTTCTGGCAAACTCGTTTTCTATGGAGAGACAATTGAGAAAAGTAAGGTTACGTTATCATAATATTTAGAATTAAAAAAAAATAAAATTCACTGACGGGATACATTAAGCGCCGAGCCCCAACACAGTTTATTAATCATAGGCTTTATACCACGACGTACCTTCACCCCCCCCCCCCCCACCTCACTTGTCTCTAGTGGGTTTTCAATTTAGCTGTTGACACACACATACACACACATACACACACATACACACACACATTTAATTTTGCACTTCTTTGAGACTGAAAATCAAACAAGTAGACTTAACTTCAGTTCTGTGCTAAAATGCATGTGCCCCGACCGGAGATCCTTGAGGAGCGGGAGAACGTTTACGTAACATCCCTTTTTCTGGGTACATAGATATCGGTCCTTCCTGTTCTCTCCCCCTCCTTTTCATCCATTGTAAGCCACACTGGAGTGCGGGTTATGATAAGACTTCTCATTTACAATGTATAGGCATAGGGGACCCCCCCCCCCCCCTCCTCCCCCGACATACCCTTTTTTTTACTATTTACATGAATGTGAAAGTGGGACTTCGCGGTATTCTCAGAACTCTACTAATTCCCGGACTTATTAGTGTTTGTTACTTTTCACGTCACGAACCGGAATTGACGTTTGGCCCATGAATAGTTCAGACACCCACACACAGTCAACTAAGTCAATACTGAACACCTGAAGCAAGGAGGTTAATGAAATACAATTCCTTGCTTTTGTGAGGGCTATAGACGGAGTTCTGTACTACTCTTTATATGAACGAGTTGTTAGGATAATACGTAGCGGGCCGAGATCCAAGCCAACCGAATGTAATGAACCTTTTCATACATATGGAATGCATGTCCTAAACTTGTATAATTTTTGTACGCTTAATTCAAGCGTGGGCTCGAAAGAGGACATGGTACGTTTTCGTCTTACTTAATGGATAACACAATCTAAAGATTCCACGGTTCGTGTCAGATTTACGTAAGGTCGCGCAAAGAAAACCCAATTCCACATAATGACCAGTTAAATGATTTCTTCGTTGACGCTCCGTAGCTACATGTTCTACGTGAAGTCTCCAACTTCTAGCTCTAAACAACGTCTCCGTACTCCGTCGTTTCCAGTCTCCGTTTCTTCTCCCGTCTCCTCTCTGGGTCCCAAGGTATCAGTTCTCCTCGTTAAATATATACTAATATGTTATCTTACGTGGATCGAAAGCTGAACTATTGTACGTTAACTCTAATTATTTTTAATTGTAAAGTTAATTTCTTTACTTCGGCGTTATACAAAGAGGCCGCCGCATTGCTCAAGAGATATTGTACTACAACACATTACGTCATATGACTTCAAAAGAGATCTATGTCGGAAACTTTTGTTTCATTACTAATGTTGGAGACCTTCACTCTAATAATATTTACAATATTTACAAAGATTACGTAAAGTACACATAATTACATGTTTGGATCGATCTATCTTACTGGGGAGTCTCACTAAATACTGTTAACTTAACCGGCTTAAATGTCTACCGAATCAGCTAACAGCTTTACTAGGTGTGACAGACATTTAAACCGGTAAGCTTGATAGCAATTTAGTGAGACTCCTCAGGGAGATAGATCGATCCAAATATCTGTGGGAATGGTCCCTATGTCGGACACGATACGAAGTTCAACTTCAAGCACATAATTTTTCTCGATATGAACGGCTCCTTTTTTCTGAATGCAGTTAATTAGGAATCATATGTATATATTTTCTGTAATTTATTTTTCAAATGACATTCATTATACAATATTAAATATGCTTAGAGATAAAATTATAATTATCCAGTTAAAATTACACACAACGTTTACCAAATGTATTTTAAGTCCCATGCAGGTAAACTTTCAATCGTTTTACTGCAAATAAATAAATAAATAAATAAATAAATAAATATTAAAGTAATTAATTCATTAATTAATATGAAAAAGTACTATAGAAGGTTTTCAAATGAAGTCCACAAGCTTCATTTTCCAAATCTACGCTAGCAAGTGCAATATTTCTTTCGATTTGTTCTGTACTCTCTTTAGTTCAATTTCAAGACTTCAGAAGTCTTATTCTAATCAGACATTCGTACGTGTGTGGCTAGTTTTCAACTGCAGTACATGAGTTGTTGAAACTTTCCTTCACGCTATATTCCATATCAGTTATCACTCATCCACGCCATCACCATAAACCTCCCGTTTTTAGCGCCCTCTACTTCCGCTTTGTGGTGAGACGGGTAATCCTCGGACTCGTATGTACACACGGACGACAACTGAAGGTGTTCTTTCTTGATGCCGATCTTACAAAGCTGGGATGCATTATAACCTACGAAGTCTATACCCATTGGCCCATCTCTCCCCCTCAAGCGGACGTAGTTTTCTTTATCCGTGCTTTCTACATCGAAGGCTCCCTGAAGATGTGGTCGCCAGTCCTCTACATCGTCACGCGGAACGTCGAGATAATCCATTCGGTAATGTTCGGCACATATAGCGGGGGCTTGGATAATCCGAACATCGCCGACGTATTGTTCGAGAGAACAGCCGTTGTAGGAGGCCATTACCTCAACGGTCTTCACGGCTACTTTCCTAATAGATCCTTCCCGTCCCGAGTGAGCGAGGCCCACGGTGCCTGAGGGGCCGTGGAAGAAGATATACATGGCGCAGTCGCCTGGGTCGCATTCAAGTCCAATATTCAGGAGTTTGGTAACCAAGGCGTCGCCAACGGGACCGCCCATTAACTTATTTTCCCATTGCGCGCGGTTTCCCCCCGTAATCACGTGAACTTCGTTGCCATGGACAGCACGCATGCGCACAAAGTTTTTCAGGCCGCGACTGGACATCAATTTGGTTCTGAATATGAGAAAGTGTTTATTTGAAGTGCTAGGAAGTGACCAACCTACTCGCTCGAAAGAATGTTTCGAAAAATAGAAAAAAACATGTACCTAAGCAATATTTGAAAAAAAAATGTGTATATGAACTGAAATAAGAACAAAGTGCTAATGTGGAAATAAAGAGAAGTATTAATAGCTTGAATGAGTTAATTCATACTTTTAAATGATAAGGTGGCACTATAGACAGCTTAATATACCGCCAGGCAGAGTAGCACGCACAATCGCACATATTGCATAAAAAAAAGATAAAACAATTGATTCAATTACTGATTATCTGACCGGTGATTCATTAAAGGCATCGTTCACATGGAAAGTCTATTTTCTAAAAATCTATTTTCTATTCGCGGTATCTTATGATCACGGTCTGTGGCCTGAATATCCCGCGGCGTAATTACTGGCAGCGCGAGCCAGTTACTTCCAAAGCTGTAATTAATTCTCGGCTGTGCTCGGAGTGATCACAAGATACCGCGAATAGAAAATAGATTTTTAGAAAATAGACTTTCCATGTGAACGAAGCCAAAGTTTTTAGTCTTACATGAAAATATCGTAAATAAAATGAAAATTAAACATAACATGTTAATATTGTAAACAATTAACGAAATACAATAATAATAATAATAATAATAATAATAATAATAATAATAAACTATGTATATGCCCCCCACCTATGCACAAGTCACCCACCTGTTACTGACCACCTCCTCCTCTGGAACACCCCACTTAGGGTTGGGGTCAATGTGACCATCCTGTATCCGGGATATAATGTACATCAAGGACATCTTCTGGAAACAATATATTAAATATATTTATATAGTGAAGACACTACTGTCTACCTCCTCTTTTTCTCTCTTCGTTCAAAACCCATCTGCATTTCATTTAATTTTTTTTCTCTCTCCTTTTCTAACTTTATTTTTCGCTTACTAATCATATCGACTTATTTTCATCTACTTGGAAATTAATCAAGCCACGTCTTCGTGGCCCTGTTTCTAGGTAAAAGTGATTCATAGATGTCGTGCGGTAGGCGACGTTTGCGATTTTAGAAGACTTCAGCGACAAAGGTGGGCAAGTGGTGTAGGTGCAATCGAGCCCAAAATGTGACGTAAAATCTCTGCCCACTCTCCGTATGAGACAGTACGTATTTATAATGTTACGTGTTGTGTTCCTCCGGGACAGCCCCTTCCCCTGGGTCTTTTGTTGTCATAATTCTCTACTCGAATGATAATACCTCCTTGCTGATAAACAGACGCCAGGCGCTCCAGTATTTTGCAAATATCTTGCCAACTATTAACCTGTAACACCACAGGCTACAATGGTATCGTTGACATAGTCCTTCTATCGCCCTAGTAGTCTGCCTACCTTTCTCTTGCCAGAAGGGGGTTGGGGGGGGGGTACAAGATTTGTAACTGATGTAAAATTTCATGACTTCAGATAATGCATTAATATGAAAAAGAAAAAAACTCGTTCGACGTGAACAGGAACAAACTGGTCACTGAGCATACCCTCTACAAGGGCCAAATATGTTTTTTTTTTTTGCTCAGTTTTTACAGATATGCATCATGCTAACTCTTTGCACCTTTCTCTTGTGTCCAGTGGAAAAAATAATGTGGAATTAATGTCATCACTACGCTGGCCTTAAGTATAGAACCATCAATTAGAGGGAGAGTTGTGGTGACTTTTTTTGCCAAAGATGCCACAAAGATGTTCACAAAGATGCCATCATCTGCGTGCAGAATCTGACAAAGCTGCTTCCCTATGAAACTGAGTGGCTGTAGGAATAAGCAGCCTGCTTTAGAAAAAGTTTTGTTGGTTTCCACCCGGTGCTAGCAAGGGCGGATTGAGGCCGTCTTCTGGGTCTTCTTGAAGACAATCAGAATTTTTCAAGTCTACACCGATGGGCAACTAATAATTCTGTTGGATGGAATGGAAAATGGATCAACAAAAATAATTTGAAAATCTGTCAGAAAATATCTCTGGATCCGCCCCTGCAGCTAGGCTAGGTGGCCTTTACTCCAAAATATTCAGTTTTACCATTTAGTTGCTCTCGGTCGTAAAAGGGTCACTGCTATGGGCTTGTATTTGATTGATTGATTCTAACTGACTGACCGAGGTCATTCATTACCACGTCCCTGTCACACCTCCTACACAGCCTCTTCTAGGACCCCAAGCTTGCCATGACTTCTCTCTCTCATTTGACAAATTTACTCCATTTGGTTACAAAAAGTTGTTGACATTCTTGATGTTCAACCTCTGAAACGTAATCACTTGCACTCTCAGTGTCACCCCGTCTTCTTCAACATCAGTCTGATGCACCAAAGTCATTCACATCTGTTGAACTATTCTACTCTAAGATTTATCGGTATCTTTATTTCCTCAAATATATCATTATTTTGCATTTTGTTTTCATCTTAGAAAATGTTGTGTATAACTACCGTAAATCAAGTGAGTCCTTTAGGAACCCAGCAAAATATATATTAAACGACCGCAGCCTAAATTATTTCCAGTACGATAACCATAGATGATACCAAAGCTGCGGACATATCTCCTGGAAGCGGATAAAAATGTGACAAATTCATGAAATTTCATGGAAAAATAATATATAAGAAATTAAGATAACAAACGCGTCGTTTACTATGAATAGGGTTAATCGCTTTTTTCAGTTTTTTTATTATTTCTATTTCAGTCAACAGGCCTGTTAGAGGATACCAGTTGCTACGAGAACATGATCGCCTTTTCTTCCCTTTATGAATGTATGTCACGCTTCCAAGAATGAGAGACTCATCATTGCGGTCTGGATATGATCCCTACTAATCAGCAGATATCGCGTAACAATAATACACAATTAACTTCGTGGAAAAATGAGCCCAGACGATGTTAGAAAAATAAATGCGCTGGCTGGACTTTCTAGGAAAAAGCAAGAACACTAATAGAGTCACATTTCATGTTGCCATCATTTTTTGTTTGTCTTTTTCGGGAAAACTGGCATATAGACGAGAGATGGCAAGTATGTTTCTTCTTTCAAAAGCTCCCTGAGAAAATTGATATAGGGAAGAGAGACAAAGGACAAATGTGGCCGACCACTAGCCTATAAAATCAATATCATTCTTTAGAAAATATTTCTTAAATCTTAACCGAGTCCGTTTTGTAACTCATCACCATACATAAAGTTCAACATTTCGGTTTTTAGTTTGAGTTTTGATGTATTTATTTATTTTGTTTATTAAGTGTTATATGGAACGCCGTTGACCTTCATGGTTTTCCACAATTCTTTGATTCTAGTTTTTTAACATTCTTTCATGTGAACATACCCTTCTTTTGAATCTATTCATTTAGAATTGCCATCCAAAGTGCCCGTTGTTTTCCTCTACTTCTCTTTCCGTCCACTTTTCCTGTTGGCCCCAGCTTCCCCATGCCAGCAATTCGTTAATGTTGCGTGCTCCAGAAATCTCAACAGGCATTTTCTTATTTCTGTGATGAAACTTTCTTTGCTGCCGCTCGTTGTAATCTTTTATTCGACTGTCTGTCCCCGAAATTTTCATCATTGTTCTGAGAAACCACATGCCACAGCTTTCAAGGCGCTTTCCATCTCTGATTTTACAATTTAGGGTTTACAATTTGTAAAAATAAAATCACAATTATAGCTTTTATATTTTGTTTTTAAAATTGTAAAATATAAAACACAAGACGACTCTCCCTGCCGAGAGAAAGAGAACGATGTCTTTTCGGATTAAGCAAAATTCCCAAAAAGGAATCAGAAATAGATGTATTCATACTTCTCATTATAGCACCTTTTGAAAACAGAGGAAGTATTGCAGATACCTCATTTGGTTAGAATATATTATAAGAAAATGATCTGCTCTCAAAAAAAAACAAAAAAAAAACACTGAAATAAAGTTATTTATCAATTCTGTTGATCATCATTTATTGATCAGCCAAACACACGTAGCCCTGTCATAGCCCTCGTCTTCCCTTTCTCTGTCTGCAGTGTAAAATTGACCTTCGTGTGTTTTTGTTATTCTCCGCTGGTCATCCGGGCTTATGTTTTCTGAATGTTTTTGTTTATCACCAATGATTATAAGTAAACTGCGACAGGACTTTAAATTTCACAGCGTGTTTCATTTCAATTGTTCTGTCTCTCCTATTGTTTTCAATTACAATTTAAACTGAAGTCTCCAATACGCGTCAAGTGTTTTCGCACCACAACTAAGTTGCATCTATTTTACCGCTTCTATCAAAACATTGTATGCGCATTAATAACGCACTGTAAAACAAACTACTTGTAGCATGTAATTCGCCATTAATTTATGCTACATCCAAATATACGAAAACGATTTAGTTTATCTATAAAAGTGTACGAAAGTTGTTTTATTTATTGGGGGTTCAGTACAAGTGCACTGCCTTGAACTTGAAAATCTGACCGTCTTCTGGAAGACCCAGAAGACGGCCTAAATCCGCCCCTGGAGTAACAGATCTAGAGAGTTGCTGAAGCCTGTTTTCCATAGAACCTTCCTGGTTTCAGCCAATGAGTGCTCGAATTCGGCTATTAAGCCACGGGGCTTCCACTTGATCAAACCAGGAGGTTTATGACCAAAACGGGAAAAAACTTAACCTCGCTGTTTGTTTTTTCCCCATCATAACTTCCAATATTTTCGTCCGATGATAATTATGAAAATATATTTAAAAAGTACATTGAATAAGACTTTCTAACAACATGTGTAACAATGTATTATTTCTCCGTTGTAAGCCTCCAGCCGCGCAAATACCGTGAGAAACCGCTAGTGATTTCACTTCCTCGTTTGGTTCCTACTATTTACAAATCTTGCTCAACCTGCGCGTTTTGAGCCATTTTTCCAGAAGCTTCGTACGGCGTCCAGGGTGTTATTTTCTCGTATTTGGTCTCATTATTATGCAGAGAATGAACCAACCGCTCGACTGAAAGGTTGCAGAAGGTGATTTAACCGAAAACAGCAACCACAGCCAGCTTGTCAATTTTTCAATCGTGTTTTAGAGTTAGGGTAACGAAGTTTATAAAATTCTGCAACCCCTACCTAGATATTTTTCACTAATGCTCGATTCAAATGAGTTATTCATTTGTCATTTTTTGGTAAGACATAGCAGTGACAGCCGTTAGAAAATTAGTGATTCCCTATTTAAAGTAAAACCGAAACCGTATACTGACGTCACTGTTGTCTAGCACGCTTTTTGCTGTTCTTCGCATGACAATGAATCTACGCTTACAACCCCCCCCCCCAAAAAAAGACAATAACAATAAAATAATAACATAAATAGTTAATAAAAATATGATAGAATAAAATAAATGAAAACTCTAAAATCCATATAGACAGTACAACTCCTTTATATAGCTAAGCATGAACATTTACTCCAGTATTTTCATCACACCAGAACGTCATAGCCTAATCATAATGCTTTTAGTAGGCCTAATATTTAGGCATTAGAAAGTTAAGTTTTAATCCTTCTTTAACAATCAGAATGATGTGATTTTTTCTTCACACAACAGCTAATATTGAGATAAGGTTTACCTCCAATATTTCGATGTCTATCTCAATATTAGCTGTTGTGTGAAGAAAAAATCACATCATTCTTACAACTTAACACAGCTGATGAAATTCTTCTTTAACAATCGCTTTGTACTCACGTACATGTAGATAGACTGGGACTTCAGGGGAAAAACACATTCTCCATCATTTTCTTGCCGAATGTGAACCAATTTTTTTCTGCCATAAATGCTGAACGTTATATCAAAATGGGTAATTTTTACCAACCTTAATTAATTTGGGACTCCTACCCCCCCCCCCCCCCACACACACACACACACACACCCACTTCACACACATTCTGTAACCATCATACATTACTTCCTATTTACTGAGGTGCAACCTGTAGATAGGCCACTCTAAATGAGGGCAGAGAGGTTTCGCTTTCAGATAAGGAATGATACCAAGGCAAATCCACACCCGAATCTCTCTCTCTCTCTCTCTCTCTCTCTCTCCACGATGTATCTCTTCAGATGCTACACAGCCACATACTCGTTCTAGGCTAGCAGTCTGTTCAGTCCTAGTTTTCTTATTTCATAAGAATCATTATGTTTTCTTGAAATACGACGGCGGAATTCTCGCCGAGTGTAGTCAAGTGATCAGAGTAAGAGTCAGCCAACCTTCCTTACTCCCCCCCCCTACCAAGACCCAAGTGTTAATATCACCGGTCTAATATCTTACCTTTATATCTGAGTTCACCTGGGTTAAAACGCCTGTGGATGTTATATAAAGATAAATATACTGGTGAAAAATATGGCGTGTTCCACGGTGAATTCGACTGGGTTTGAATGGGAATTTCCCGTGCCTGGGATTTCCGCGTATCGAAGTGATACACGTCACGTGGTAGTGGATTGCAGCAGTTGCGACAGGTGCAATTGTGACTGGTCGCATCTGTGCTATTCCACTGGTTCTCCATACTCCCTCGATTTGTGGGAGCTGTTTTAAGTCTCAAAAATAATTTCATATGTAAATTGGTCAAAACTTCCAAATCCAAAGAATTCGTGTTCTTGGACCCAAGCTGAAGCAGTAGACGTCAAGTTGAAAGAAACGCAACATAAGACAATTTAATGACATACAAAATACAACTTAAACCAGTAGGCCTAAGTAGGTCTTTTAAGACGTACTTAAGATGGCTTTTGTTGATAGATTCCGATTCGAAAGTGAACGAAATTTTGGCCTGAAAGATAATTGGCCAGGCAACCTTTTCATTTTAATCCAAACTATTCACCTGTGCCATCTTATAGCGTTATAAATAGTGTCTGCATCTACATGGTCACTTCTATCAGCGTGCACTGTTATTTTATCAAGCCGCACGCGAAAGTAACCCTCACCTAGATTTTCTGCCTTTAAAACACCCTTCAGTTTACCGAGGTATGGACCGACCATGAGAGGCCTTAAGGCACAATTAATTAAAAAATATCCCGTGCTAGCTTAGTAAACAATCTAATTATTGTTAGATTGGTTGTGTCATTAATGTTATTATCATTTTTTAAATTCTTTCTCAAGAGTAAGCAAATCCTAGATCTGAAGAACAGACATTAATAATGCCGTTCTCATCGGGCGTGGTTTCTGAGACAACTAAAATTAATTGTTTATTAGTTTTAATCAAATTGTTTATAAATAAATGCATAATTCTATATTCCCCGTACCTCTTTCCTATAATTTGGGGTTGTCTGCCAGATGCAAAGAAATAAAATAAACCGTGGTTTGTGGTTGACGTTTGTATTGGGTGAACTCCCCTCCCCGCCAAACGAAGCCCGACAGTCAGAAATTTCACGGGATTTGAAGGCCGATTTTAAAGATGTGGTCCTCAGCAAGCAAAAATAAATTCAAGGCGCTTCCCATCCTTTCTACACACGGCTGGCTGAGTGAGACTGAGTCCACTGCTCACTGCAATTCGCGTACAACATTAAACTTGGCTGACACACATTTATCTAACGCAAAAGATAACGGAATACATTGACTTTTATTAGAGATGACTTGGAAAAAACAAAAAAAAACGATGTATGAAATATCTAAATTTGGAAAGCAGGTACTTCTTACACTGCTATACCCGTGCATTAATGATGACAAAGCGGTACAACTACTGTAAACGATAGTTTGGATTATAAATAATAACCATATCCCATATGTATACTTTTATAATACGGCAGTGCTCCCTTTACTTCACAGCACCAAGTAAATTGCACATTTGATCAATCAAAGCACTTTCGACTAGACCGATTTTCAATCTGAGAAAAAAAAAATCATACGAAATACACTGTATACGAGTAATGCTTAATTTTGTTCGCAACAGAAGCAAGGTTTGGCCCGTGCAGTAAACTTTCCAGTAACTGCCCATATATTTTACTATATATTGTACTGGTATATGATATATCTACATAACAATCTTGCCAAAAGAGCAAGAAAAAAAACTTAACGTAAGTTCGCTTGAGTAAACTAAGTGAGAATCGTAGACAGGCACGCCAGTAGGATACAAGGGAAAAACGCCAAAGACGTCACCGACGTAGCACCATTCACGTCGCCGACAGTGGTGCTACTGGTGACAGTGGTGCTGACGGTAGAGGTCGACCTTGTCGTGGAGGTCGTCGTCGGTACCGTAGTCGTCCTTGCTGACGTCAGACCTGTCGCCTCGAAGCATTTTCTCTCCATGGTGTTCCAGACTTGGTTCATTTCGAGTCGTACGTACTCGTGCTGGCTGCACTTCGTCAGCAGGTCAGCCACACAGTCTCTGTACTGACACGGGTCATTGTTTCTGTTGTATGGAGTGGTGCACTGGGCGACTAGATTTATGGTACAGTCTTCGGCTGGAAAAGGAAATTAAGAACGTGAATTCTGTGGAAACTTGGTAATTAACCTGAAAACTGCCCCCCTAAAAAATAAATAAATAAATAAAATAAAATAACATAACATAAATAAGGGAACTTCAAAATGGTGCAACTATAATCACCATTAGGTTCCTCCTCTCTCTCTTTATATTTGTTCGTTTATTTTTAACACTACACTGCACTTAATATAAACTGAGTCACCATTCCTATATTTGTTATATAACATCACCACCTGCGTTCGATGCTTACCCGACAGCAGTTCAGCGAAACTCCCTCTCAAAATGGCGACAAACACTACTCCTGTTATTAACAGCTGAAAAAGTAAATTCAAAAGATCAGATTGAGAAAAAAAAAGGAACCTTAAGATGTACACATTATCTTGATTTTCATCATATTGTCTTGGTCTTTGGTGATAAATATCTTCGAAGACTTCAAAATATGTATTTTCAATGTAAATATTTATAGAAAAGTATCCTTCGGAAGGGAATTTATATCTGAGGCATAGGGAAGTCAAATTAAGGAAAAACCCAGTAACCAATCAAAGATCTTGTTAAAAGAGCACGCATGTTTAAACACCGTCAGAAGCATTCAGACAAATACCTCCACAATATACTCCGTGCACTGCTAGGCCAAATAATACACTCAGTGTTCCAAATAATATAAACACGGTGTTGTTATTGTTAAATAAGCGAGACTCTAACCATATAATGAACGTAATAGTATGAACAAAACGAACGCTCAGAGGCCTGCAATGTCTTTTGGCACATAAGACATACGGGTTCTTGTTAAACTGTACTCCATTCCAAGAGTAGGCCTACAGCTTCATTGTAAAAAAAAAAAACAGTTAAAGGGATAATAACTCTTCGAATGAGATCTATATTTCACAATAAAAACATTGTGAATAACTCATAGAAATATAATATATTCTGTTTTACCACAAAAACGGCAGTTATATTTATTATTCTGATGTCTGAGCTTGTCTTTAGACCACGTGACCTCCATTGATGGCTATACTCTGTTAAAATCTCTTAAGAGATTTTAACAAAAAACCAAACTTTTTAGAAAAAAACCAGGGACTAACTTTGAATGTAAAAATGGACTTATAAACCATTGGTAAGTATGGGAAAATTGTTGTTTACTCCAGGAAAATTCATTTTTTGGCCGAAACGAAGAGTTATTATCCCTTTAACTTGCTCCCCAACTGACGTAAAAACTGAGATGTCACGGCGGATGCTGCGTGTTATTTACTATAAAGGATGACATTACTCGTATACACATTATATACATACATGTATATGAAACTGAAATGAACTTAGCTATCAGAGGCCGCTACGGACTAATTTATATAGCTATTTCTGCGTCATTCAGGTCATCACCGTCCAGGTAAATTGTCCATCACAATGACTCACTTTTGTTAAAATGTAGTCTGTATTGTTTATGTATTATTATTCACCGCAACATGTGCTTTTATCAACGCAAAACTTGCCATTGCGTGGAATTCTCCGAAAATAAAATTGATGATTTCCATTTCTATACACACACTGCCAGATGTACCTGTACTGTGACCAGAATATTTATCAGTTAACTTTGAACCAGTGTGACAGGAATGGTAGTCCTACAAATAGAAATCCGGTATCCCTTAATTAGTACCTGACAGGGTTAGTCAGAGTATCGGGGTTAGTATATGGGACGGATGTCACCTGTACAAAGTAATGGGAAGTGGACCACGGTTTCTAGCGGACTACCACTCCTGTTACACCGGACCAAAATTAACGTCACTGCGGGCTGTACATGGTTATTTACATGTACAACTAAACTGTTCACCAAATATATAATTTTCCACACTTCAGCACAAATTTCTTGTGTTACAAGTACATAGCATTCTGTTACACGAGAGAGAGAGAGAGAGAGAGAGAGAGAGAGAGAGAGAGAGAGAGAGAGAGAGAGAGAGAGACTGTGTCTGTGTGTGTGTGTGTGTCTGTGTGTGTGTGTGTGTGTGTAACCTAATGATACAGGACCAAACAGATAACAGATTGTGGTAAAATATATATACTGGGAATGTACAGTAGGCCTACACTGTTCAAACCCATGGCTTGCCAAGGTAATATCTGTGATAATACCTGCTGTATGATTCCATAAAGTAATGATTTATCCTATCAGTAATCCACGAAAATAATGGTCCTTCACAATCACAAGTTATAAATTAATCTTAACAAAAGCAATTTTTATCCTGGAAGGCTATGGGTTGAAAAACATTATTTAAAAACAAACTCTTATCTGTTTGAAGGAGTCAAGTAAGGAATGCCTAACTAACCCCCCCCCCCCCCCCCCCCCCCCCCCCCCCCCCCCCGAACTTCCCCATCTCCAGTTCTTTTAAAGGCCTTGCATTCAGTATTATTTCTGGTCAACCACCCATTGCATTTTTGCATTTTGATGGAAGAGCCTTCACGTGGAAATAAGTATAATGATGCCAATTTAAGTCTATGAGTTCAATTAATGGCACTGCAGTATGGGTTAACATGAGCATTTAGCTGGCATGATGAACTGTGCATGAAGCTGCCCGATTCTTGATGTGTTTATAAATAGCCTATACCTATGTAACATGCACTAACGTAGGCCTACAGTTCCACCTTAAGTACAAGTCATTAATAAATTAATTAAGCCATGCCTTCTCAACCAGTTTAAGCTTCATATGAAGTGACCAATAAGATTTTGCAGGGTGTTCATGTGTCAGGGAACATGAATTCTAGAAATATTATAAGAAAACTCTTTAATGCACTTTTTTTAGATTTATGCTGCTTAAGACTCATATTTAGAGGTACATTTCTGGTAGCCTAATGTTCATTCTCCTAATCAGATCAGCACCTTCAAATTTGACTACAATAGGCCAACTTCTATCTTGTTAATAATTCCAAAATACTTGAAAAGCTCTGAAAACGCAGAATCAGTTTTTCGAGCAATTTCACAGCCTACTGAACAGACTGTATTCCACTACGAACACAGAGTCATATGAATGAACAAAAGGGGAGATCATATACTATATATAGGCCTACCAGTTCCTCATTATAATATGAATGCTGAAAATAGACTGCTCTAGGATCGATTATTCAACACACAGGAAGGCTAAACTCGATTATAGGCAATATTCCCCATATATCGTAGATTTCGTAAACTGTCTGACCTTAGATTTCAGCAGATGAGTACTTCCGATTCTAAAAATGCAATAGTATTTTGGTAGATATCAAAACCCCATATCGATACAGCGCGTGTAAGAGACCAACCGGTTGGGGGACCGGGTTGGGGGGGGGGGGGGTGAGGGAGGGAAAGGACGTCAAAAACACGTAGGCCTACATCTTGTCTCGGAGAATGGGAATGATACATGAATACAGGCCTACGGTATGCCGATACCGATACAGAATAAAATACTAAGGATCCACTTAAATACTATATGGGTCTATATAACGTTGAAAAATACGCCTTTGTGACCTTCGCGTGAATCAATGGGCTTTACGATAAATTTGAAAGCCCCATTTAATGTTTGAGCTACGTTACCTGAACAGCAGTATATTTCTCCTTCCCAGCCATATTCGCGGTGTATTTTAAACCTTCTTTACTCCTAAATATGTTTACAAGAACAGGATACGCCACAATATAGGAGTAATGGCCGGTTTACTCATCCCTCTCAGCTGACACTTGCCTCGCACCTATTTGTGTTGTAAATGCGTTCAAGTTCCGCTTGACCCACTTTTAGAAAATGATGTCGCGCATGCGTCTTGAAGACATAAATGATTGAATATCACCCCTTCCCCCCCCCCCCCCCTCCACCAAATAAAACTGCAAAAAGGGATTGTTTGTAGGTTAATAGGAATTAATATTTGAAGGTAATTAGATGAACAGATAAATCAACAATTAAAGCAGTATGTGATGCTTTCCGTTCTTTTTCAAATGAACCAGACTTTTGACAGAAAAAAAGTAAAGAATTAAAGCGCACGGAGAGCAAGAGAGAACACTTTAATAGGCCCTAAGGAAAAATTCAGCTATGAAATTCATGCTGTCTTAAAAAAGACATTATCATTCTGTTTCTCCATTTAAGATTTAGGAGTGAATTTATGTGTCAAATAAATATTTTAAATGAACGTTACGGAGGGAGTAGGGCCTATCTATAGGCCTATAGGCCTACTAGGCCCTATATAGGGCCTATGGGTTTGGAATTGTATTTCCTATTTAATTTCATATTTTGGGGAGAAAAAGTGCCATGTTTTATTCTGTAAAGAAACAATCAAAACTACAAAATATAGTTAATTTTTATCTTACGATCAAAGGAAAATTTGGTTAAAAAACAATAATTAAAGGGGGTTTGTTCTAGAGAGTAGGTCTACTGACCGTAATAAATAACACATGGTTTCTAAACGAACAAAGGCATACACATGTAGTATCGTATATCATATATATATAACACTTCTCAACTACAATGTTCAAAATAAGCGACCTAATTGCAAGTGGCTTGGAGACTTTCTTGTCTGTGTTTCGCGATGAGCGCGGCGGCGATAAAACTTTAATCATATGGGATGTCAAAAAAGATGTGTCACCTACACGGACAAAGACGCGAAAATGATGACAGATTGACGTCAAATTTTCCTGAAACAAATGGAACCTGGGAAGCAGACCTTTGTGTCTTTCCGTGAGTCCATTTAGAATGGACAAGCAGTGGCTTCACAACACTGGGATTTCACGACGTAGGATAGTTATCAAAACAAAACCGTGGGGTTGTTTATATTTTATGAAAAAAAAAAAAAAAAAACAGAGCGACCAGATATGGAGAATATCCAATCGAAGCCCAGGCCATGCAAGGTAAAAGTTGATCTGCTCCATGTAAAAAATTGACTTAGTGAGAAAATCTCGTAGCCTATCGGGCAAGGTTGCGAATTATACATGTAGAGATAAATTTTATAACTACAAAGGCATTTTTTATTCTGTACACATGTCGGAAGTGGAGCTGTAAGTTTGCTTTTTTAATTACCATTATTTTGATACTTGGTGAATAAAATGGGTTATCAATTAAAACTTCAACCGTAAGAAACCAAAATCGAAGTTTATGTCATGGTGAAAACTGTAATATTGGATTATACTTAATACGACATCTGTTATATGCACTAGTCAATTTATGAGAACTCAATGACTGTATGTTCTTTAAACTCAATGATGTTATTTAAACTCTCTGATGTACTTTAAACATTAGAAACTGTGCACTGTATTCAATGGCTACCAATTTTGAAAAAGTAGTTTTTTCTTTCAGTTTACGTGATATTCGGTACGTCCCATGCTTTTAGCCTTCACAAAATGAATATTAACGTAGATAATAAAAGACAGAGGTAAACATTGCCTGTTGCACTCTACCTCTCATTTTAGAAGCACGGCAAACATTACCAGGCTAATTTCTTCATATTTTTCGGCTATTTCTGTAGAAGGTAACGCACTGTCACACCTTCAAGTGTGTTCTTAAGTAACACGCCCGCCTAGCTGTTTCCCTCTCAGCTTCATCACAATATTAGTCAGGTGAATTATGTCGGCATATGAAGATGGCAACAGGGCTGTTATTATTGGAACGAATGATTGGTGAAAATATATATACTGTGTGTGTGTGTGTGTGTGTGTGTGTGTGTGTGTGTAAAGAGAGAGAGGGGGGAGAGAGAGGGAAAGAGAGCTAGATGTAAAAGCAAAACTGTGAATATTTTCTATGGATTTATTCTTCTTTCCCTCATTTTCAGATGATTCTGGTTATGGTTGCCCTTGTGTTTATCATTTCGTTTCAACAAAGCGTCGCGAACGAATTCTTCTCAGGTAAGTGTCTTGCCCCTAAAGTGTCATCTCTGATATATCCAATACTTAAATTGATAGACAATAATTTACACAAAGCGATTTGAAATGAAACATAAATAGGTAAGACAGTTTATTCATTTTATCGCTGAATTCCCGTTTAAACACCAGAACTATAACATTTGTTATTAGCCTTATAAACAAAATCGCCGAAATAGCTTTTGACCGGACCCAAAAATTTATTTTCACCGAGTTCTAAAATTTGGGCTTGGAAACGTGTTATATTGGGGTGATTTGGAGGCCTTTTTGTCATTTTTAATTCTAACCCATTATTAGCCTTATTTTCTTTTTCAAGTCTTTCACAGAAAGAGGCACTTTATAAATGTACAATTTCGCTTTGACCAATAATAGAAATACTGTGGCGAGAGAGAGTCGCCTAAAATGTCCCCAGGATAGTAGGCCTAACTAGGAAAAAGTTGTGATGTGCGAGCGCAACATGATTCTACATAGTCATATGTTCATTATTAAAAGTAGCCATTTAAATTTTTTTCAGAGGATAATTGCATCACTCAAAGCGTTCGTTGTCGCACCACACACCGGTTCACACGAGACTCGTGCCAGTACAGAGATTGTATTGAAATTTTATTGTTCCACTGCGTTCACTATTCGCAAATTAAGATCCAGCTTACTCAAGTGTGGACTCGCATGGAGAAGAAATGTTTTGGGTCGACTAGGTCAAGGTCATACACTGTCGATCCCTACGGTGGTGAGTATAACTACCCTCTACTAGGGTGGCAGATTATATAGGGGAAAACGGAAAAATCCAAACAGAGCAAATGACTTTCTATTTATCTAGAGACATATCTGTGAATATCTGTGAAATCTGTCGTCTGTAGTCACTGTAGTTAGTGCACTGTCACACGTGTTTTCCAGTAAAACTCTCGCCTCTTTTCCTCTCAGCTACATGTACATGTATATCACAATATAAGTCAGATGATTTTGTCTTCATTTCATTTTTTCTAGCTGACCAGTGCTTATCACAAATGCGGACTTGCCAAAGATTGTTTTCAGAACGCACTGACTCGTGCCATCATAGCGGTTGTATCGACACTCTGCTCATTAAATGTCGAAAAAATCCACAAATAAGTTACATACTGCAGCAAGCTTGGCTGAAAGAGGAAAAAAGATGTATCACAGATCCCTCTACTGCAAAACCAACAAGCGGCAGGAGACTGAGTAACCTACCTCAACTGGAACTTAATTAATTTAGGAATTACAATTTTGCCAGTTTTGAAGATTGTTGAATTTTACTACAGGTTGCTGTAGTAACATGGGAAGAATAACGTTGACGTTGAAAATATGTTGGACAGTCAGAAGTGACAGTCATAAAAAAAGAGAAAAATGAGTGTTTTTTAATCGTATATTTCCTATTCAAGAATGTATTTATCCAACCCTCGGGATGCAAATTTGATAATAATAATAATAATAATAATAATAATAATAATAATTATTATTATTATTATTATTATTATTTTTATTTATTTATTTATTTATTTATTTTTATTTTTTTTGTTGATTATTCCTCCATTTTTGACCGTCTTCGCACAGAAAGATCCTGAAGACGGCCCTTCGCCCCTGGCACGATTTGAAATAAATCAAAATAGTGAAATTTGCAAAGCCTGCTGCACCGTTTTGGTTGATTTGACTTAATTTGCTTTCTGATGTCGTTTTGAGAAGGTATATTGGAAATATTAAGTTGATTGTATTTATTCAAAGGTAAGTCCATCGGGATTTGTTAACATAATATTTATTTTGCCTTTGTTGCACGGGGAATTCCTTTGTATTTATAGTGTTATGTGTGGACCCAAAGGAATTTCCCACCCCTCCCCCACTCTTGATAAAGAAAAATAATGATGTGGGAGAATGAAAATAAAAGTGCAAGAATACGTTGAAAATTGTATGAAGGTTAATTGCTGGTAATGCTGTGAGGAAATTCTTATGAGTGGGCGAAATTGGCCAATGTAAAAATTTTAACTTCTACTTCCGTATTTTAGCCACCAGCTCTAATTTTTCGAAAGCGAGGCAAGGGCTATCAAACAATTACGATACAATTTTCAATCTCGTAAAATAGAAATTCTTCAATAATGATTAGAGCATAGCGTACATTAAAAGACCTTTGGGTTTTTATTGTAATCTTCAATAATAATAAACATAAAACATACGACATAATAAATCCTAATGTTTGACTCATTTATCAGCTTAATTGACATTTTGTACAATTTTCAGGCTAAAAAAAAGCCAAAGACAGTCAGGTTGACCTCGTTGGTCGTTTTGGTAGCCCATTTAATTAACTGCACATGCAGCAGTAATGCACCCTACTAATGCATTTTGGGGGACTTTCTCGAACTGGATGGACAGGCAAGTACATGTAGGTCTATTTAAGACCAAAATTTTGAAAAAGGTGCAATTTTACAGCTCTTTAATGGTTGAGAGAGTGATTAATACAAGTTCACTTTGAGTAGTATAAGAAACTAGTAGAAGTGGTTCATATGAAGTGTTTCATATGAGATATGGGGAAATCCGTGCCCTCTTCAAATGTAATTTTAAACTCTCTAAACAATGAGCTTACAGCTCATTTTCACCTCTACCACGAATTGGTATTGAAAAGGTATAAAGTTTATAGTCTATAAATCAGATCGATTTAATTCTGCGGGGCTTCCCGCTAAAGTGCTATCAGTGTAATCAACTTAATTGTCTGGCATACCCCCAAGAGGGCAATAGACTATCATTAATTACCCTCTCGGAGCTTGGGTAGCCGTGCCAGACATTTAAGCCGCGTATGCAATTTATCGAGAGTCCCCCCAAAGTTAGATCGAACCAGCTAGTACGGATTATGGGAACACTCCCTATGTTTAATATATATTTAGAAGATATACTAATCCCAAATGTCGAAGTAATCAACATCTACGACACCCAATAACCCAATTCTAAAATGGCGTCCATCAGACATAATATACCGGTAAATGTATAGTCTAAGCATTCCTAGGTATAAAATATTTCTAATTGTCAAACAAAGCAACATATGGTTTCTTTTTTTCCCGCAAATTACTGAATTTTTAGCTGTTATTCCATTTCGACGTCGTCATTTTCAGCATCATGCACATATTGGTTATTTACATCAAAAATGGCATCCATGAGACGTTTCCAAAACAAACGCTGTCCTTCTTGGCTGCCTGTCCACTTTATATAGCCTTTTGCCTTAATGAATTTCCGAAGCGATTTCGTCATATCACCAAATGGCACCGTTTCAAACATGACTGGTATCACTGTGTTGTAACCACGAGCCAATGACATTTCAAACTCAAATTCACACCACGAGTTTAGCACGAAGTTTTCTGATAGAACGAGAACTGTCTTCCTGCTGTTATCTACAGCTTCGACGATAGCTTCAGCAAGAGATGCTCCACCAATGAAATCCCTCTCATCTATGATGACGTCAAGCTCGTTCTCTTCTAGATGACGTAAAAGTTCATTCATTACCCACTGGTAATTACCGTCATCGTATGAGACGTACACGTGGCCAGGTGGCGGTTTGACGAACCCGTGTCTTCGTAACCGGCGGCGCAGAAGGTAAAAGCGATATCTAAAAGATTCAAAGAAAGCTATCCAAACAAAAACGTAGCCAAACATTTGACCATGAAAATTCACGATTGAACAATATCGGATATGAGAAAAAAAAAGCCCCAAATGTATTTTGAACTTACAATACGCCAGAGCGTACTCATTTTGGTAGTGTTAGTTAAATAGGAGAATACTGCATCTAATAAGACATCTTTCAAAAATGCATATATACGTATAGATATTGCCAAATATTTACAATAGAATAGAACAGTGACCTGTGAAAATCTATTTTAAATAAATGAGTATTGAAAAACAAAAAAATGTATTTTGAACAATACGTGAGAGCGTACTCATTTTGCTAGTGTGGTTTGTTAGGAGCACACAATTAATAAACATCTTTCACAAAATTCATACAGGCTTATAGATATTGCCAAGTACAGTGTATTTGCAACAGAAAATAGTGAGAGTTTAAAATGAGTCAACAAGTATGATACTCACTGAATTGTCCAGCGATATATATACGCTAGTACAACCCCACAGGTCACGCTGGCCGTAATGGTCAGAGATATCCCAAGAGAAAGCCAGTGATTCAGGGTTGTGACCGATTTTGGAATGACGTCACATTCCCTCTCGAGTCTTTGCAATGTCATATTAAGGGTTGAATTGGTGCCATTCGCATGACATGTCGAGTTGTTAGAGAAAGATACTGTTATATTTGAATCGATAACCCAGCGAGTGAATTCTTCACCATCGCAACTGGCGCAGTCTACGGGATTGTTCGACATATTGAATACTAAATTGGAGCTTTTGTTTACCCTGTCAGTGAATTTCAATTCTGCTGGGGAGAGTGCGTGCAGCTTGTTGTTACTGAGGTTCATGTACTCAATAAATGCAAAGTTCATCCAACTGAAAGATACAGTCGTTATGTCATTGTTGCTCAGGTCAAGCCATTTCAAGGAAATGAGATTGACAAAGAAATGTTTTGGTATCAGTCTGATGGAGTTCTGTGACAAATCAAGGTATTGGAGTCGAGGGAGGTCCAAGGGGTCAAGCCCACCTTTACCTATGAGAGATCCCATTTTATTGTCTTTAAGATAAAGTTCTCTCAATGCCGGTAAATCATGAAATAAAGTCTTTGGTACATAATACAAGACATTATGAGACAGATCTACGAATTCCAAACGATGTAGTCCATACGGAGTGTAACAAGCATATGGAAGCCTTAGACCGACGGCACTCAATGAACGCAGATTGTTTGAGTAGAAGTACAAGCTCCCATTGACAGTATCGCAGTTAAATGGGCCATATTTAATAGTCGCCCACCAATTTAGTGATAAATATTCCAGTTGTTTAGGTAAAGTCATCTTGATTACAGGTAAGGGTATGGTTATGTTTGCAGACAGTTCTTCAGCGATAGGTGTGTCTGATTGATCCGTGGTTTTCGTGGTTGTTAGCAAAATCTCAGGATGTCCGTCCCAGAAGGAATGAGTTATTTCGCATTTTGGTTTTGGAGATCTATTGTGGATTACATTGTTGTCGATCTTCACGAATTTCAAATTTGTTATGCTAATTTTTGCCATTAATGAAACGACCCAAGGATGATGATTTTTGGGATGATACAATATGTTGTTGTAGCTCAAGTCGAGGTATTCTAAGTGTTTGAGATTTTGAAAAATGTTTTCTTTTACTTCAACAATATCATTATTGATTAGCTCCAAACTTCTGACTGTTTTATGTTTTAAACACTCAAATGTAGATGCCGAAATACTAAATTCGAACGGAGATTTTGTATGCATATCAACCATATCATTCATACGCAGCGTCTCGATCATGGTATTATTCAGATCACATATAAAATCTTGCAACTTTTCTGTTGAAGTAAAAATACTTCCCTCAACGTCTAGTATTTTGAGATTTGGAAAAGATGACATGACGTCACGCTCCACAGAGCTAAAGGCACAGTTAATGAATGCAAGCCTTTCTATTGGACAGTCTTTCAGTGACATAAACGCACGTCCTTTTAACTGCAAGTCGGTAGCAAAGGCAAAGTAAAAAGTTTCGTTAAAGACCAAAGTTTTCAGCGAAGTAAGATTACTGTAACCAGGACCAAGTGACAGGTCACCTAGTGGAACATATGGAAGAAAAAGCTGTTCCAGCTGCCGTAATGGAGCCATTGTACGGTCTATGTAATCCTGCTGAATGAGCTGAAATCGGTTCATATCATTAAGTTTAAGAATTTTCAAGCTGATCAAGTCCTGGAAGAGGCCAGGTGGTAACAGAGTATAATCGAGGTTCACATCATAGGGGATAGGGGACAAATCTAAGTATTCCAGGGTCTCCAAACCAGCGAAACTATACTCACTGAACGCTTTTATGTTATTCCCTCCCACATAAAGAACTTTGAGTCTTTTCAGTTGACTTAAGGCGTAAGGTCGTATTTCGTTCAATCCGGCATGCCGTAGATCTAAATTCGTTGTATTTTGTGGCAAAGCAAGAAATGAATCGGCGATCGAGCTACCTGAGCAATTCACAATTAACTGCTTTTCCGGAATATATTGACACCGACAAAGTGATGGGCACGTATTCAGCGTTTGGTTCACAGTCGCAGCCAAAGTGTTGCTCAAGCTCCACCAAAGTCCCACAAGGAACAGAGTTGTTTTTTTCACTGCCTGCATTGTCGTGGTGTCCCTTTCACTTTAAGGAATCGACTCTAATTGATTATTTAGTCGTAACCTCCCTTTGCTTCGATCTACATATATAATTTCTTACATTTGTAAAAATACATCTCTACATTTTCGACAGATAAAACATCTCAGACGCACATGAAGAATGCGGAACCCTAGACGCATGAGAACCTTTTAATTTACAAATTTTATAGTCGCAAAATTTCCGTTGAGTCACTTCCTTATCCATTATAAAAATATCGTAAAATTCGTGGTATAATGACACTACCAGAATACTCTTTATTGTGTCTAGGAACGTCTTCTTTTTGTGTATCTTGTTGACAAGTATAGAAAAGAAAGCATTATGTGACCTTGTCAGATGTTTGAAAGAGCTTTGCGTAAACCTTTGTGTGACTGCTTATTTCCTCGGGGCTAACAAACCTGGGGAATTCCCATCTAGCTAGTGGGGTAAGCTTATTGGCTTGAAGTAGGCTGTGGGAAATGTGTCGCGGCACTTTTCTTAACCCAACAATTTTTAGATTTAGGATTTGTTCCCCACACCTTTTTTTTTTTTTGGAGGGGGGGGGGGTGCGTGGTGGAATGTTCCTATCCATGGTTGTTTGATCAATTTTCATTTGTTTTTCACATGTAGTTTTTATTTCCTCTCAGTGAACAGTCACTTTACAGTTCACTCATTTTCATTGATTCACAGTTTATTTTCAAATGATATGTTTTAAGTCTATAACTTTACAGGAATGAGATGCTAATAAGTTGAAGACGGCAGTGATACATACCACATATTCTTCTAAATATTTTATTAACGTTATGTCATGCTTTATCTTTTGTAACACTTATTCTCACTGATGAACAACTACTTGACATTTTAGTCAATCTTACTTATGTATTTATTTATTATTTTAATAATGTGATGACTAGCCAGGGCATCCATCCATTGGAAGACGGCAACATGTTCTGAACCGAACGGCTATATAGGGTACCGTTAGAAAGAATGTTAATCGGGTGGGTAGAAAGCATTTTGTAACACCTATAGTAATGGTGTAAGTACCATACTTTATGTGAATCTACCTGTAGCAACAAGGATACCTGAATTGTGATAACTTTGGATTGATTCAACAATTTTAAGGGGGGAGGGAAACAATTACATTTGTACAGTGAAGTGTTTAAATTTGACAGATATTTTTGTTGCTTAGACAGAAATGGAAGAAAAGAAGAATATTATAGAAAAGGCTTTCGAGCAGGAGTCTCAATGTCCATGAGAAAAGAAAAAATCATCAGACCTTTACAAACTTATGTTTATAAAAAACATATTTTGCTTTTCAAAGATGAAAAGTATTATTGGAAAGGTGGATAAATCATTATTGTTAACTCGTTATTTTGGCTGGGGAATCAAGATTTTGGTTGTACTCATTGTGATGACTGATTTTTTTAGATAGAACACTAACTGGGCTATTTACCTTGAGATTTTCAAAATGATATCTCTAATCACTACGCAATAAATGGAGGATAAAACGCATATAAAAGAGCTCTACAAACGTCATTGTTTAGTTTTTGTTACCGAACCGTACTGCAAGGTACTTTGGTTATAGTTAAATATGGTGTAAATATATATATTCACAGCAAAGTACAAAGATCATGAAATATCAACGTCGACTCCAGCAATGACCAAATCTTATAATGGAAACAAACCTTCAATTAAAAAACCGTTTTTGAGTCATCAGTTCCTTCAATAGGGGTTCGTGCTGATGGATTAAGTATCTGTAGAGGGTTCAGTTGAACAATGGTTGATGTTGTTTAGGGTTCCCAGTATTATTTGGTTAAAAAAATAGATCCGTTTTCTACCACCATTAAAGCAATAATAACTCTTCGTTTCGGCCAAAAAATGAATTTTTCCTGGAGTAAACAAAAATTTTCCCATACTTACCAATGGTTAATGAATCCAGTTTTACATTCAAAGTTAGTCCCTGGTTTTTTTCTAAAAAGTTTGGTTTTTTGTTAAAATCTCTTAAGAGATTTTAACAGAGTACAGACATCAATGGAGGTCACGTGGTCTAGAGACAAGTTCAGATATCAGAACAATAGCTATAACTGCTGTTTTTGTGGTAAAACAGAATATATTATATTTCTATGAGTTATTCACAAGGTTTTTATTGTGAAATATAGATCTCATACGAAGAGTTATTATCCCTTTACGCAATGTCTCGATCATGGTATTATTCAGATCACATATAAAGTTTTCCAACTTTTTTGCTGAAGTAAAATTACCACGCTCAACGTCTAGTATTTTGAGATTTGGAAAAGATGACATGACGTCAGGCTCCACAGAGCTAAAGGCACAGTTAATAAATGCAAGCCTTTCTACTGGATTGTCTTTCAATGACATAAACGCTTGCCTCTTTAACTGCAAGTCCAAAGTTTTCAGCGAAGTAAGATTACTGTAACCAGGACCAAGTGAAAGGTCACCAAGTGGAATATATGGAAGAAAAAGCTGTTCAAGCTGCCCTAATGGTGCCATTGTACGGTCTATGTAATCTCGCTGAATGAGCTGAGATCGTTCCACATCATAAAGAAGTTTAAGAATTTTCAAGCTGACCAAGTCCTGGGCAGGCCAGGTGGTAACAGAGTATAATCGAGGTTCACATCATAGGGGATAGGGGACAAATCTAAGTATTCCAGGGTCTCCAAACCAGCAAAACTATACTCACTGAACGCTTTTATGTTATTCCCTCCCACATAAAGAACTTTGAGTCTTTTCAGTTGACTGAAGGCGTAAGGGCATAATTCGTTCAATCCGGCATGACGAAGATCCAGGTTCGTTGTATTTCGTGGCAAAGCAAGCGGTGAATCGCCGATCGAGCTACCTGAGCAGTCCACGATTAACTGCGTTTCCGGAATATATTGACACCGACACAGTGATGGGCACGTATTCAGCGCTTGGTTCACAATCACAGTCGCCAAAGTGTTGCTCAAGTTCCACCACAGTCCCACGAGGAACAGAGTTTCTTTTTTCACTGCCTGCATTGTCTTGGTGTCCCTTTCTCTTTATGTAAACGAACGATACTTCGTCTCTCACATGAGTATTTCGACCAAGTTTAGACAAGTTTAGTAATTGAATACACCGTCACATTCATGCACACAAGTCGTTTGTGAACTGATTGATGTGATCAAATACTTGATCTCTCACTTAATTATTTCGAACAAGTTCCGACAGGTTATGTTGCTTCTCTTCGTCTTCACGTACATGCTCTCGTATATGTCGTTTGTGCATAGATTGATTTGACCAAATAAATACCGCAGAGACACTAAAGATCTTGGTATTTAAGAGCTAAAATCTATTTTATAGTTGCAAACTCTCCTTTGAGTCACTTCCTTGACAATTATAAGAAAGATCTCGTGGATTGCTTGAATGATCACCCGATTTGAATACTCGTTCTTTTTAACAGAAAATGTCTTCCGTATGCGCGTTTTGTTGACGAAAGAATGAAAGCTTTGTGTGATTTCGTCGAATGTTTGTAAGGGCTTTGCGTGTAAACTTTGTGTGACTGTGTTTTTCTTTGGGGCTAAAATATAGTGGGGACTCCCCAGCAAGTTTGTTGGGTAAGACCCCATTCTCATACCTAATGCGATAAAGCAGGATCGATCAATCTTCGAGGAGATTCTCGCTAAATTGAATTTAGCTTTAGCAGAACTGATGTCTGGCACACTTACTGAAGCTGCTAAACGACAGTTAATTACCCACTTACAGCTTCAGTAGGCGTGCCAGACATCAGAAGTTGGGCCGATTCTGCGAGATCTATCTAGGAATGGGAATGGGGTCTAAGCTGTAGAGATTTATCTTAAAGTGTGACACACGCTTTGAGGAATACGTCAATGAATTTTAAATACTTTAAGAGACTTTTCGAATATGTAAGTGAAGGTTAATCTTTTATGCAAAAATTTCAATTGATCACGGTGGCGGTAGACCGTAAAACCTTTTTTACAATTAACCCCGTGTGTTTTACTATCCTGGTATCCTTTTCTTGTCTTAGGGAATTTATGCCTTGCACTGCAGTAAAATACCACTACATTGCTGTTAGGTTCGAATACTAAAACAAAGCCATATTTTGATCGTTAATGTTTGCGAAACTTACTGGAGGGTTGAACACGTGCACCAGGACGGACACCTGTTCATTAAGAAAGCGGTTAACGGCACTGCATAACACAGAGTAAAGCCCCCTTTACACTGGACGCCGTCCTTTCTGCGTCCAGCATGCGCAGTCCGGCCCCATTTGAGAGTTAAAAAATTATAATACTTTACGTGCCGACAACTGGCTGATCATTGAGCATTCATTCTGATACAAAACCAATGCTCGTGCCTCCTTATTAAGACCACAGCGTTGCCAAATTTCATGGTCGCAGAGAGGAAGCAGAAAGGACGCCGTCCAGTGTAAAGGGGGTATTACCAATAAAGTGGATTGTTGAGCTTGAAGGGGAATTCCCTTTCAGGTAAACTTCATTCAACACTATACTTCCTATTCTCTTGATCAAATCTTATTAGAGTTACAAGCAAAATGCCAGGGGGGGCAGTAAGCGGACACGAGGGGGCGAAGCCCCCGAGGGGGGAGGGGGTGTCCCCCTACCAGTGTGGAAAATTCTAAATCCCAGGGGGGCAGTTGCCCCCCCCCTCCCCGGGAGGCTACGGCCCTGGTATAAACGGGTGTAAACATATACATGCACGAGCTTCCTTTAGTAATAGGTATACAGCTTTATGTTAAATTTAAACGAACAAGATTTCTCTGCGTGTAGCTTTCTGCTCTTTTGGAAACAGATAAGAAGCATATTGGTTTATAGAAACCATGGAAAGAAGAAAGTACCCGTGAAAACTAGTTGGTCATAGAGTGTGAGTGGATCGCTGGTGCATCTAATGACCCTATTTCACACAGATCACGAATCCCACGAATCGTCAGGAATTGACAAATTTCAAGATTCGTGAGATTTTGCCCATTTTCTGTTCTAATTCGACACGCTCTAAGATTCAGTTACGATACAGGTGCGATAGTGTTACAAATATTCGTGGGACTCGGCTGGAACCGCACGAATATTGTCCAGAAATTCGCTACGATTTTTTGGAATCGGGAGTTCGTGGCCAAAATTTTGACCAGCTTAAAAATTTTTGGCACGAATTCCCGATTGATCAAAAATTGCAAGAACTGACTACGATTATATGCGAATCTGTTTAGAACTTCACGAACTGATTACGATTCAACCACGAATCCTGAAATTTTCAATTCCTGGCGATTCGTGGGATTCGTGGTCTGTGTGATATATGGGCATGAAAGTTTTTTGCCACTAATTCCTGTTGCTCAAGGAGTGCAAGAAATGACTACATATATAAAGGAATTTGTTAAAGGGATAATAACTCTTCGCCTTGGCAAAAAAATGAATTTTCCTGGTGTAAACAACAATTTTCCCATACTTACCAATGGTTAATGAATCCATTTTTATATTCAAAGTTAGTCCCTGTTTTTTCTAAAAAGTTTGGTTTTTTTGGTAAAATCTCTTAAGAGATTTTAACAGAGTATAGCCATCAATGGAGGTCACGTGGTCTAAAGACAAGCTCAGATATCAGAATAATAGCTATAACTGCCGTTTTGTGGTAAAACAGAATATATTATATTTCTATGAGTTATTCACAATGTTTTTACTGTGAAATATAGATCTCAAAAGAAGAGTTATTATCCCTTTAAGCATCACGAACGGATTACGATTCAACCACGAATCCTGAAATTTGTCAACTCATGGCCATTCGTGGGCTTCGTGGTCTGTGTGAAATAGGGGTATAAGCAGGATGCATGTTCAGTTCGGAAGTAAAATGTCTATATTTTAATTTATTACTGTAAGGTTTTTACTACATAATAAAAAAAATTCGAATATTCGAGAAATTATACTGTTGTCTTGAAGGATATATCTATATATATATCCTTATCTATATACTTTTTAGAAGTAGACGTCTTCGTTGCTGCGTTATATTTAGGAACAATAGAAAAAAAAACTAACATGTCTTTCACTATAATTATTGGTGGAATTCTAGAGTCGCAAACTTTCTGTTCAGTTACTTCCTGGTAAAATGCCTGACACAACCCGATTCAAATATGACCTAAAACGCCCTCTACATTGTGGATATCGGTAAAAACAGATTGAAATTATTGCATGAAATAAAGCAACCAAGACACAATGCACTTTTGTGATAATGGAAAACGATATATTGAAAAAAATATATATATATATATATATATTTGTTCCTCACTAACTTTGTTGATTGAAATTTTGGTAGTCGCAAACTAAACTTTCGGTTTAGTCACTTCCTCATTACAAACACGTGAAACGCTCGACATCCCGATCGTAATGCAATTTTTATGACCTAATATTGTGGTTTTATACCTTAGGCCACACTTTTTTATTTTTTATAGATGACATCCTCTGGGGACCCCAAAATCGGTGCGAGCGGGCGAAAAAAAAACAGTCCAAAAAAAAAAAACTGCTTAAGAAAAGTTATGTTTTCAGCACACAGCTGGAAACACTAATTTACCACAGAAACACGTATCAAACTAACAACATGTCTTTATCCATGCTCTCAAAATTAAAGCATTGTGAATAGGGCCTACTTCGTAGAAAGGTAAAAAGTCATGAATATATATGATGCATATTACCAAATCTATTTAAGGTTATTTCATTCATTCTGTTGGTTTAGAAATCAATAAAATAAATGTCAAATAAACACCGTGTCTTTATTTGTACTCTCAGAAAATTAAAGCATTGT